CAGTTGACCTTTACGCAATTCCAAATGAAAGATCATATTACAGCACTCAGCAGGGTATTAAAATGTACACATACAGTATTCTCCTCTTCTGCCAATATTGGCTATATTGAGCGACATTTGCAGATAAGTTTAAATATATAGTGAAATAAAATTAAATTTTGTGGAAATGCAAATTTCAAAAACAAGAAGTATTAAGAATTTTCCTCTTTATATCACACTTTTTTTGTAGCTTTCTTTGCATGAATTTCACCCTGAAATCGCAGGAAATGGCCATTCCAGACTTTGAAAATCAAAATTTTCCCGGGGGTGCATGCCCCCGGACCCCAGGTGAATATGATCAAAATCATATTACTAGATTACATTGATATCGAAGGAACTAGACTCATGCAGTTCCGAAATATCACATACTCGAACCGACCTGACGGGGCAGCTCAGTTGGCAGAGCATTGGGCTAGCATTCCAAAGGTCGTAGTTTCGATTCCCACCGTGGTCAGGCATATTTTTCAAGCCTGCCAGGTGTGGATATACACTCAGAGTAACATCACAAGCATCAAGGAAAATGTGTTCGTGTGCATACGGCCGCCAAGGAAAACCGCCCTGTAGCTATTGTTCATTAATCAAAGTAATTTTTCAATTGCATAGAAGTGAAGCTGATACCAGCGAAGACGAAAAATCCGACGATAAATTATTAACTACTAGTCCAGGTACAGATGCCTAGTGCTGTGAGTAACTTAACATTACACGTTTACATGCATGCTGTGATTTTTCGTGTACGATTTTTACGTATTCTAGCGTTTGTAGTCGAATAAGCACGCGTATAAAGAAGTGGTTGCATTTCAAATTTCACCATAATCTGAATGAAGAGGAATTGTGACTTCAGCAGCAAATTTCATACGCCAGAATGAAAGTTTTTAAAAAGTCCTTGAATTTCACCTTCACCAAAGGGTGGACGTGCTGTTATTTTATGAAACAAGTTCCAACAAGAAAATATTTCTTTAAAAAAGAAATAATGTTTCGTTCCAATATAATTGTAGAAATACCAGACGTCTGTAATTAGCGGTTGTGACCATAGATCACTTGTATATGTCGAGCAATGAAATTGGTTCATATATTTTGTGAGGTGGGCGGGTTCTATAAATTTTCATTACCCGGAGGGGCCGAGCGGTCCAGAAATACAGTTGTAGTATTTAAAATGAAGAAAAACAAAGAAAACTATATAATAAATATATACCGCTGTTGAAATACAGTTGTAGTATTCAAAATGAAGAAAAACAAAGAAAACTATATAATAAATATATTGGCGCTTGAATACTTCAAATATAAATCATCGTGCCTGTAGATTTTGACCTGAAGTTCAGGCCCTAGATTTTGATTGGTTGCAAGTTCACATAAACAACAGTTTTAAAAATAGCTCGGTGAAGGGCTCAAGGGGACAATAATAATATAAAGGTCAAATGCACGTAACAAATCCATTATCGATTTCTTCGAATTTCTTTTCTTTTATGCTTTATGGCAGAAAATAAATCGAACAAATAGTATTTTGAAGGTCTTTATCAAAATCTTTGACGAATTTTGGACACACGACGCCGAAAGAACAGCCAAACTAGTCATCTATTCGAAAGTTTGTTGTTGACAGCCAAGATGTTCTGCCAACTGGCTTCGCCGGCAAAAGTCTTATTTTTAATATCAGGTCCTGCCGGCGTTGTTTTCTGAGCTACATCGCCTTCTTCGTGGTACGATTGAGAATTTTATTGTTGTTGTTGTTAGCCCGTTAAAGTATATCCTTGGTATATATCCGCGTCCAGCAAGTTGAGACCTTGAGAAAGCTTGGCAGTCAAGCTGTACACAGAACTGAATAATTGAATCTTCGTTTGCTGTTCGGTTAAATAGAGAAACTGACTCTTAATTATATAAAAGTACCTTGAATTTTTAAGTTTAATTAAAAAGCAAAATGCACACTCTGCGGACATGTTCATGAGAATATAATTTTTTTGTGTAACGAAATCTATAACACTTGTCAATCATATTGCATGCTGTGTCTAAAAATAACATGTGAGCGTCCCACGGTCTAGACAGGTTTTGTATCAGGCCCTATTTAAAATTAGGCCTGAACTTCAGGTTAAGTTAGCATGTTCTCATAGGTTGATATATAATTAACTAAGATTTCCGAATTATACGCCACGCCTCCAAAAAACTTCTTATGCTAGGAGCGGTCATCTCATTGGACGATTCTAAATGTAATTGACGTTTGAGCAAGAATACTGGCAAAGGATTGGATAACTTTGATCTCTGACGTCACTTTCCTGTGATAATTGCTCGAAACCAAATACAGTACCGTTTCGTTCCTGCGGGGAACGAAACAAAAAATTGAAAGTAACTTTTTAACTAGATACAAAAATTGTGAAGTAACTTTGTACTGGTAGCTTGTTACATTTTTTATGTGTAACTTTTTATGCAGTGCAACAAGTCTGATATTATATCTAACTGAAGTAATCTTTTTGTCTACATTATATAGATAAAAATCCTACCGCACCCAGCCAAGCACAAAATGAAGATTTAAGTAAAAAAGCATCCCCAGAGGACAAAAAAGAAAACTCGTCCTTGGGAAATCAAAAATCGAATACATCAAACGAAGCTACAGTTATTGACAGCACATTCGGCGACAATACTACAGCAGTGCAGCAGATGGGTTATATTCCTAGCTTAGGGGTTTATTCTGATTCTAGTGACTCAGAATCCTCATCAAGTGACTCAGATATTCTGCCGTCGTTGTTCAGCAACTTCACTTCAAAAGCTAAATAACCTAAGTAAAGTCTTATAGATGAGTCTTAGAGATGATAAACTTATATAGTATATCATCTCACGACATCTGAGATAAACAGAACCCTTGCATGAATGCATGTTCATGTGGTCTAAATATCAATTGAAACTGCTTTGGACCAAATAATTTGGTATGCACGACCTCGCGTCGCAGGCTCGCAACTTCCATGCTGTTATCCATTTAAGCGGCAATGTGCCCCCACAAGGGCAGGGGTTTCGATCCTATCAGAAGTTCCACATGCACGTTCACAAATGATAATAGATGAACGCAAAATAAAAAAAGGTTCAATAAAATGGTCACTTGTCACAATCGTTTCGATATAATTATTATATCACCGTCTCTCACTGAGGATCCAACATAATACAAAACTACAAGCCCACAATATCTATTTGTTATTGTCAGTTGTCACGCTGCCCTAATCACGTGATTATTATGCCCAATCATAATTGTCTATATTTTTATTATGTAATGTAATTGTCCTAATTAATCTAAAAATTTTATCTAATCAAATTAGTGCTAAAATATAATAACTAAGGTAAGTTTCCGACAACCCTACCAAATTATTTCACTCCGTGTAACTCCATGAGATACTGTATTAGGAAGCTCAAGATACACCAAATCCTCGACGCGGACGTGGCAAAAACTGCCGCTATTATCACAGTTTCACTTCACGGGTAAAAACTATGGATTGTTGTTGGTAAACAAAGCCAGGGACACGAGAAAAACAAAGTAAAACTAGTCTCCAATTATTAGCGACTTTTTTAGCCGCGTCCCAGATTCGGTGCATCCTAAGCTCCCTATTATCCATCAAGGGAGAGTGCTGGGTTATATGAGAATTTTAAACATGTTCCTATACCAATGCATGTAACTACAGCTTTGTAAATTTCAGCCTTCAGAATTTAAGGCTCATTTCCACTCAGAAAATTCCCGAAAATACATAATTGTATATTATTCAATCGAGTGAGACCGCCAACAAAAATATTTTGATATTTATCCATAACCTATACAATCCATGTGTGTTTTATCGGCAACATCAAAGAACTTCTGCCGTGGGGGATTTTATATGGATGAAAGATACATGGATGCACTTAAGTCTTGGTGGAAATGGCCTGTTAACAATTTTTAAAGGTAAAGAAGAAAAATCTTGAAGAAGAAAAATATGAAGTAAGCTTTCGTGACTACGTTACAAACAAGATGACTCGTTTGGGATATTTTCCAATATTCGATTTGACACATAATGGGACCATTAGAGTACACGCAATCTCATGATCAGCATTCGCAAAGCTACAATTCGCTAATTTGAGATGTTGTCACTTTCTTTAAAAATTTTTACTGTAGTATTTATGTAAATTAACAAGATTTAATGGGCCGCCTATGATATAACGTCCAAACGGAAAACGACGTCGACAAGCACATTTTAAGTCACACTTCCGCCATATTTTCGTAAATGCACATACATATTTTTACTAGAAAATTTAAATACATGCATGCAGAAACCCTCGCCTTGCCGACAAAACCATTTTATTTTCCGAACGTGAAGTATTTAAAGTAGTTGTCATGGTAACACGATAATTTTTTAAGAATATTTTTACAAATGAAAAATCCCCTACAAATATCACTTTTAATTACAAAATTATCAATTTCCCAAACATATATATGTTAGGTATGTTATTATACGTAATATAATAGGCTGCCCAAAAGTGCGTGTTGTACTTTTTACCCTCGCGCGTGGCGCTCGGGCATGCATCGAGTCTACTCAGTTTATTATTATGACAAGGTTGGCAAGACTTTTAACGGAAATTTATTACAACGTTTACTAGAGTATGAATATTTCGCAAATTACAAACAAAAACAATATAAAATCTACATCATTACAAACACTGGTAATTTTACTACATTCTCTCAAAGTTTTAACTTCAAAAGTTCATTCTAAGGTTGTTAATTAAAAAAGCGAATTATTTTCGTTTTTTTTGCAAAATTTTGTCAAAACTATGCTGGGGTCACGTACCCTGTGGTGATGTCATATTTTTTAAATCTTGAAGAAGCGCTGATTTGCTGTTGTACTGGAATCGTGTACAACATACTCTAGTAAACGTTGTAATAAATTTCCGTTAAAAGTCTTGCCAACCTTGTCATAATAATAAACCGAGTAGACTCGATGCATGCCCGAGCGCCACGCGCGAGGGTAAAAATTACAACACGCACTTTTGGGCAGCCTATGGTAATATAAGCTTCAATTTAAGGTAAAATTCAACCACAAACGCTTCGTAAAACGTTTTAAAGTGTTCTTTTAATATAGAACTAAACTGCCTTTATCGATAAACTTTGAGTTCGAAATAGAATTATTCCAAATTCTGCCATGCAAATAACTTTGTTTAGTATAATAAAAAGTGTAATCAATAAAGAAACACTGAAATAATACGCTGTCTTGTGTCATATTTATACGCAACGATCGGCTTTTAAAGTAATTACAGTCGAGATTACAGTTTATTAAAAGCAACAATGCATCAATATTTAAAACAAACTTACGTTCGTTAACGTCGGCACCATTACTCCCTTCTTTTAGCAATTCTCTTGCCTTTATTTCATCAAAAATCTTTTGAAATTTACAAAATCTTGTAAAAATGAAATATATTTGCAAGAAATCATCAAATCAATTTCGCTATATTATGAGATCAGTGAGGATGACCACCCACCGAAACACGCACAGTGACCCACGCCCGCGATAATTGATGAACTTTAGACTTCGCTAATGGTTTCGTTTCCCAGGGTGTAAGTAGCCGGGGGGAATTAGTACCCTCGCACGGCGCTTCGCGCCGTTGGCTCCATAGAGATTATAAATAACACTAGAGGAGGCATCGAGTTTAAAAATTGGGAACGCAGCTAATGGGGGGCAAATTCAAGTCCCGGAAATAGAATCGTGCTCTCATTGGCTGATTTGAAACTCGTCACCAATGGGAACACGAATTCACATCCGGGACTTGAATTTGCCCCCCCCCCCCCCCCCAATAGTCGCGTTCCCTTTTTTTTTACTGAATTAAGATTACAATGCCTCCTCTAGTGTTATTTATAATCTCTATGGTTGGCTCGGGGATAAACATATTGTTAATTAAACGTTTAGCTGTTGACTATACATTTCACAGCTATCGATTGTAGGATAACAATACATTTCCTGTGCGGTCTGGTCAGAAACTTTATGTCAAGTTCTCGTTTAATTTGCAGTTTATCAATTAAAAGCTTTATATTATTTTCATTTGTGCCCAGTCCTATTTCATTATAGGGGCGAGACCGACGTTTCTGCGCACGCGCGGCACTCGATTAAGAACGTGACAATTTAAATTAATGACGCAATAATTTTAATTGCAAAATTATTTGTCGTTGTTCGAAGTTGTTGAAAAATTCTCAAGAGATGGAAGTGACAAATGTTGCGCGTCAGTTCATTGAAAAGCGACCCAACACAAGCTTATTCGTCGGTTTACTCCTTGTAAGCAGTTGCATCCCAGTGGCAATCTTCTTGGCGATCGTAGTCGGATTTTTCCTCGTGATGCTCACTGGCTTGCTGTTCATTCAAGGCACAATCATCGGTCTCGGCTTGACAACATTGCTGGTAATCCTGCCGGGTCCGCTGTGCTTTGCTACATTCTGCACACTCCTCGCTTACATAGCTCAGTGTGTCTTCGCCAAGTTGAAACCAGTTTGCAAAACCAGTGTGGGAGATTTGATGAACCGAGTTGAGATGGTTTCTGCTGGCCTACCCACATGGCAGGGCAGAAGTTTGAGTGAGAACGTAATGACGTTTATGAGCAGAGGAAATGTGGAAGACTCGAGTATCGACATTAATGTTGAGTACGGAGAAACATCGTCTGAGCAGCCTGGTCTACAAACTCAGAATGGAGAAGACGTTTCTAACAGACTTTCTTCATGAACTGTAAAACTGTTGCAAAGGGGGCGGGGGTTTGTAATGGAGCATATTGCACATTGAGTGTTCTGTATATTAAAACGGGGGAGGGGGTAATTCTGTATCAAAACTTGTTCTTTGTAAAACTAACTTCATTCTACATTATTAATTTGTCACTATATATAAAATAATGTGTCTTAAAATTTTGACTGATTAATTTTATGTGTTTGTGGGCGGAACTCAGACTTAGTGTATGAATAATTACCAGATGTTGGCAAGCCTATGAATTAAAAAGCGATCGCGTGATAAAAAAAAACTAATCAGATAAATTTAGTCAAAACAAAGTGCAATACTTTTACACATGCACTGTTATTGTTAAACAAAAGTTTGTTGCAAAGTTTCTTCGTGTTTGGCGAAACTGCGTCTTCGTTTGGTACAAAAACTTGCTCGTTTGTATTACCGGAAGGAAACTGGAAGCCATTTTGTTTTTGTTACACATAGATTGTAAAATTAAATTGTAACAAGTTTATAACGACAAGTTCGTAGCAACTCGTTACGAACAATCTGTATTAGGATTGTTGGAACAACTTGCAATTGCAGCAGGTCTGCGTGTCACCGTCGAGATTTTCCAAAAAAAAAGTTTAAAAAAGTTTTAAAAAAGAAAACAAAAGTTTAAAATTTTTTTTAAAAAGTTAGGGTTAGGGGTTAGTGGTTAGGGCTAGGGGTTAGATGACGCGAAGTTATCATTATGATAAATTCAAAATGTGCCGCGAATTTATCATATTGATAAATTCGGACGTGTTTAAGAATTTACTCGTATAGTAAATTCAAAGGTGGAGCTCATGCTGAATTATTACGGTAAGAAAATATTTATGTATTTTCTTTCTCCAATAAATGTCAGCATTTCTCAATTGGACGTCCATCGTCTGCTGCTCAAAAAGCTTACCGAAAACCTGTGGGGTTTAGTAGACTGGGGGGTTGTTTACCATTTACATGGATATTCCGGTGATTCCATACGGAAAGTAAATGGAACAAGCATATTTCGACGGCCCAACCGGAACTTTTCCGGAATAAACGGTTTGTTTGAAAAGGTTGTCCTCTCTTACCGATTGGAAAGTTTCAACCGGTAAATGTTGTTCCATTTACATTTTTAAATTTTTTTCACCAGTTCCAGGCTCTTCGCGATTTAACAATTGAAATTATTAAATGGAAAGCGAATAATCCGAATGGGATTTTCTATCCGAAATTTTGCTTACCATTAGCACAATTTCAAACCGGATGGGTTTTACATGTAAATGGTAAACAAGCTGGGAGCACTTTTCTCATATGCGACTGAGGAGCAAGAGGTTAAATTATACTGACCCATACAGACAGAATAATTACAACCAACTACACGGAATGCAAATTGCAGGAATGGAAGCCTGCGAGGTGAAAGACATAAATTAAAGAAATTTCAAATCATGAAATGGTTATCATCTCAAGTGCATTTTACTGTTAAAATTATTATGGATTATAGAATACATAGAAGAATTCACAAAAATTCTTAAAAAAGGCTTGCTATAGTGGGCACGAGCTGTATGAACACAATCTGGTATCCCCTTGTGAAACAACCTTGTAGCAAATTTGTAGCAGGATACATATAGTAGAAGTGAAAATCATGGGGTTATGATACATTATATATGTGAAAGTAATATGTTAACGATATTTATAACATGTCATGCCCATAATGTGAGTGATTACATTTACGAATTACTTTTAATTCAAAACTTAATTATCCAATCGGATTAAAGGAATATATCACAATCATGACCGTCGCACGTTTCGTTTTGCTATGTCGTGAAGTGGCGAACATTCTGGTAATATGAACGGGATGCTTCCTCGCTTCCTCTGGCTTCGTTGGCGTTGGCATCCAAGCGATCAACTTCCTTCGTTCGAGGAACATTTGGCAAAATAGAGGAAACTGTTGTGTCGAATGTCGGTGGTGGTTTTAATCTGGAAAATATTTAGAAGATTTAGTACTTAACTGCATTTATGCGGGATAGCTTTACCAGTTCTAAATTGTCCTTCCTTGAGGTCCAACAAAGGCCATCGTTTTTGCTACAATTTACTGGAGAAGAAACCTAAACTATAAAGTAACATTATATATTCTGAATAGCTTTATCTGACCTCCAAATGTATTTAGATAAGGACCTTAATTAGGCTACATTTATTTAATATGCTATACAAGGGTGTATCAAAAAAAAGGTAATCGAACTTCAGCGCGCTATTGTATCCGAATTACTCTGCGTATGAACGAGATTTTGCTTTTGGCTGTTGAATGATATCAGTCTTCTTCAAGCCAAATGGATAAAAAATAAGCAAATACGAATCCGATAAAAAATGTTAGTCAGAATCGCATATTTTCACCGTTGAGAGTTGGGTCTAAAACCATTGAAAATAAACTCCCTTTAGTACTTAAGTTGAGGAATTTCACTTTATTAAACTACGCACATATTCATAATTATTATTAAGTAGGAATAAATCTTAGCTAAGCTACGACACGTTAGTGATTAATTGTTTTTTCTTTTGTTACGCATTGTTTTAATTAGGCACAGAGGTGAAAATATGCGATTTTGACTAACATTTTTGATCGGCCTCGTACATGCTTATTTTTTCTCCACTTGGTATGAAAAGCATGTCATTCAATAGCTAAAAGCCTGATCTTTCCAAATATGAAAACCTATTGTTCATACGCCTAGTGATTCACGTATAATAGCGCGCTGAAGTTCGATTACCTTTTTTTTATACACCCTGTATAGTTTTATCTGTCCTAAGCTATTCTTCTTAGAGTTCAGTCACGCCTTGATTCATTAGCCAGTGTTACTATATATATAATACAACTCCGTTACTTATGACCATGGTGATATGTGTACCGCAATCTGGTATTGTGATCATACTCTTATACACTATATGGAAATCCATTATATAAGATACGTGATATTTGCAATTGTCAAACTGGACACACTCTTCTCCGACCGATAATAGATAGCTCAAGATCTACGACGTCGACGTCAGCTAGGACGTCAGGGGTAAGCAGAGGACTGGCACTAGGACGTCGTCCTAAATAAGTCGATAGCTCAAGTATCTACGACGTCAAATATTTAGGGCGGCAAGCGGAAGTAAATTGGTAATAGTTTTTGAAGTGTGCATGTGTCTCTCTATTTGCTCGTCGTCCACCAAACGTCGACAACCTCGCAACAAGCGTTTTACCGTCGTAAATACAAGAGCATAACAAACGGTAATAGTTCGCACGTCTCTTTTAAACTCGTTTTCAAAAGGATGTAAATATTTATAGTTTAAATGTCTACGTCGCGAATCTTAAGTGGAAGTTTATTTATTTAGGACGACGTCCTAGTCCCAGTCCTCTGCTTAGCCCTGACGTCCTAGCTGACGTCGACGTCGTAGATCTTAAGCTATCCATTATCAGACAAGTGAATATTGTACGGTGATCATGGTGATATGTATACCAAAATCTGGTATAGTGTACTTATTTATGATCATGCTCATCTTACAATTGTCAAACTGGAAACACTCTTCTCACATGTGACTGCTATAATCAGACAAGAGAATATTGTTGGAATCTAACCATTGCATGGACTTAATTTTAAATCAAATATCTAATCACTCGCTGTACCGCAACACTCCAAAACAACACAAAACTTCTACTCACTTCAATTCATTTTCAGCATCCGAATTGGCCGAACACTGAACTCCAGGTATATCATGATCAGGAACCTCGTACACATTAGATTTGGTACGTGCATGGGCGAACGTTACGGTGAAGTCCGCTTTTGCGGGATTTTCATGAGCCACATCTTTTGAAGGGATCATGCACGCCACAGCACTGGCGGCGGGCAGCTTGTCCTTTGCGGGCAATGCTCGGCCAGCTTGTCCTTCGTCGGGCATTTCATAGAAATTAGGGGAAGGGGTCTGGTAAATGCCTGATTTACGAAAAGGAGAACTGTCGTAGTAAGGTGGGGGATCGTGGGCATCGTTGTACACTGTAAAAAGATAATCATTATTTATTTTAAAAATTTGGCCTCTGATTGGCTAACAGCCAACTGTGAAATTACCATATGAACTCATTAGACGGGATCCTGTTCCATAGATTTGCTGACACAGTCATACATAGATTTGATGACACAAATCAAGTCATGACCGTGAAAGAACTTATATTATAATATAGTATTTGTAAATTCTGAACGCTGATTGGCTAAGAGCTGTGTTGATGTAACTCAATGTCAACACGGAAACGTCGGAAAATTTCTTTCTTTATGTTTCTTTGTGCTATATTATAAAACAAATATAAAACATTTTTTCCGTATTGATATACAGTTATATCAACACTCGTGGAAATTGGGAAAACTCGAAATTATGTGAAAACACTCCGCCCTTCGGGCGTCGTGTTTCCACACAATTTCTCGTTTTACCAATTTCCACTCGTGTTGATATAATTGTATATCAACACGGAAAATGTTTTATATTTGTTAGTTGCTATCCAATACAAAGTCTTGCAAAAAATCTAAGCTTATTTTGCTTATGAATTAACAAATATAAAACAATATAAAGTCTTGCAAACAATCTAAACTTATTTTGCTTATGAATTAACAAATATAAAACATTTTCCGTGTTGATATACAGTTATATCAACACGAGTGGAAATTGGGAAAACGAGAAATTGTGTAAAAACACGACGCCTGAAGTTTTATAATATAGCACAAAGAAATATAAAGAAAGAAATTTTCCGACGTTTCTGTGTTGACAATGAGTTATATCAACACGGCTCTTAGCCAATCAGCGTTCAGAATTAACAAATCCTATATTATAAAACAATATTGAAAACAAAAAATCAACACCTTTCTAACTGAATATCTTTTTATAGCAGCGTCAAAAACAAGCATTGCTGGCAGTATTGTTATGCTAACAGCACACAAGGGCCCATAATTAAACTTAACTCGTGGAAATTGGGAAAACTCGAAGTTGTGTGAAAACACTCCGCCCTTCAGGCGTCGTGTTTCCACACAATTTTTCCAATTTCCACTCGTGTTGATATAACAGTATATCAACACGGAAAATGTTTTATATTTGTTAAATAAGAACTTTTGCTTGTTTGACCGATAATATACACTCATCCAGCTAGCTCTCTCATCAACTTTCATGCAACTCTTTTTCTCGTTTGACAGGCGCATGTGAATTGAAAAACTCTCATGCAAACTCTCATCTCCATTTGGCATATGAAGTGGCGTAATTCATTTGGGCACCGCTGGGCAACCGCTAGGAATTCCAAGTGAATAAGGGACCCCTGAGCAAGTTAGACAAATTTGCAAAGTTGAAGTATATGAGCAAATTTGCATGCGTGTTTTTCGCCGTAGCCACAACCTGCCCTTTGAATGGGCAGGACGAGACCCAGTAGCACACTGTGACATGGACTTTAGCAATGTCTGTAAATGCTGAGCATGACATGCGTGAAGGTATTGTTTACCAACAAAGTCATGATGAGGACCGTTGCGAATTTCTTCGGGATTTTCATAATGAGGATTCGCGAGAGCGGGGTTTAGTTGACCAATTTGCATTCTTCCTCCTCCAGCGCTGCTGAACTGAACTGAAGGAGTCGTTCTGAAATATAAAACGTATTTGAAATGAAATTGGTTTCCTTTCAAAATTTGGCAAGTTTCAGTAAACATTAAAGAATCACAGTCAACCGTGATGCTTTGCGCGCAAAATGTGTTTTGATTGTTTTCTATTCCGCCATTTTATTAGCCGCTTTAGTGACGAAAGATTGACATCCGAAGCATATCTTTATCAATCTGCATTATTCTTAGACGATGCCGTATGTTTCATAGTTGGAATATGTTAATACATTATTTATTCAGATTTTGGCGTGTGTGTCCACCTTAACCAATGATTTTAGAAAGTTTTCTCATTTTGTAAAGTTGATGGTCAACGCCCTAATCATGGTTTCTGTATTTCCCGTTTGTGGAAGACCAACAAGTAAGGGTATTTCCAAAAGGGGAATTGAGTGGAATACACTTCTCTGTTGTTGGCAATTGTCAGTGGCATTAGCATTAACTTGCTTCTCCACAAGTTGGTGGGAAATCTAACGGTCATCCTTGCAAGCGTTTCTTAGAAGCACCTACAATACACAATTTAAGATGAGCGACCTACATACGGGTACCTCTATCACGCACTAATCGGCACCAGTCTTCGTTTATAGCCAGAGGGGCTGGACTCTATAATAACTGCTGGTGAATTAGTTTTAATACATTTTTCATCATACAATTAGCATAATTCTTAGAATTTTGAACTTTCCAGTTTTGTAACCATTTCAGCTTTTAAAAATTTGTAATACTGCTGCATGTAATTCTCTTCCGAGGAGCAGTAATGATGTTTCTCTGTACATACCGAGCAAGCGACGTTAATAAAAAGTTTATTACGTATACGTTACATCACATTTATCGGCAATTTATACTTGAAACAAACAAGAAATGCATGATTTGAAATGCATATTAGTAGGGTGGTACATATTTGGTCAAAAATACAAATGTATTCAATCCTTCTTTTCCACTAAAAACCATTCGCAGATATCTTATTAATAATAACAAATTAAATTATAATTTTCAAATTTTCAATTAGTTTTGCTGTTTTATTTTAAAATGCATGCTTTGTTTTCACGTAATGGACACCAGTCTTCTCAGTCAATCACAGTCCGCCATTTCACCGAAAGTGATGCTTGCCATATAATAAAGTTTATTATTCTGTACCACCTAGTTTACGTCATAATATGAAAACACACATGTACCTTTTGTTCTTGCGACGTCGATTATACAAATAAATAGCAAAGACAAGACCAATGAGTACAACAACACCAATAATACCACCAGCAACAACTGGAATCTTTAAACCGCTGTCGTTTTCGTTGCCGCCTTTGCTGCCGTCATTGTTGCCGTCTTGGTTGTTGTCTTTGCTACGTGGTTTCACACCATCTACCGATTTCAGGGTATAAGGCAGGTCGCTATCTGGCATTTCGAGAATCGCGTCTTTGAGAGATTCGGATGAGAATGCTTTATCTGGTAGAAGAGAGGTTGAGGTCGGATCGAGGACAAAAATGTTAACCTCTGTCTCAGCTGTGTTCGCGTTGTTTGAGATATCCTGAACGCTCACTACGACAACATCTGCCGCTTGGAATTTATAGCTGACGACATCGCGCCTCTTACGACTGCAAGAGAAAAATATTGAATCAGAGTTCAAAGGAATGTTAAGTTCTGGACAAGCGAGGATAAAAATTACCAGACAAGATTTTATATGAGACATTTTCTCAACTCTTATATGTCCCAGTCAAACGAGAACAAATTTGATGAAAACTTGAGAACATGCAGGGCCGGTGCTAAAGGGGTGTATGTGGGCGGGGGGTGAAAGACTCCCACAGTCATCAGGTAGTCGGAAAATATTGAATCCCAGTCGGCAAAAAGAGGGATTTGGATAGGAAGAAAAAATTAACATATTTGAGTGACACTGATTTAAAAGTTAAGAATGACAGTTTAAGTGTGGAGAAATTTACGAAAACATTCGAGAAAAATGAAATGAACAACGGTGGTTGACCAAAAAATCATGTTGAATCCATGAGAGTGGCCATTTCTCATCAAAATTTGTACTAGCAGCTCAGAGGTGATGAATGTTGATGGGAAAGCGCGACAGTTGCGGCATGCCTGAGACGGCTAGCTGGCGATCAAATGCGGGCGAGAGTTGCAAATATTATCAACTCTCAATAACTCTCATCCTCAATTGAGCTTGGTTTTACATGAAAAAGCATATTTGGATAATCTATCCATTTCCTTCCAAACTTTCCGCCACAGATCTTTATCAGTCTTCACATGAGGCGTAACCCTAACGTTAGAAAAGATAGATACAGAAGATAGATACAGAAAATAGGCCTTCGATCATTCTCCATAATTAGTTGAACAAGGTGTCGACACCTTCAGTGCAGAAGCCAAATATATACGGTCGGATAGTTTAATTTTGTGACCAGTTAAAACCAACGTAATAGAACCGCAAAATATAGTGATCTTTTTGGGACATTTATTGATGATTACTATTTCTTATTGGATTCTTCTGAGCCCAATATGGCAAAATATTAAGTCGAGATTTCAATATTGGGCGAGACCGAAGGTCGAGCCTAATATTGAAGTCGAGACTTAATATTTTGGCATATTGGGCGAAGATGAATCCAATAACAGTTTTATTATATCGAACAAAACAATATTCTATAACAAAAAATTGTCAATGAGTGATAAAGTAATGCAGCGAGAATAATACAGTGACAACAACTACATATATTGATTGGTTTAGTGCGCATGAGTGTAAGACAAACCTTGCAGTGTCATCCACAAAAGTACATGTAGTTTTCTTGCAAACATTTGTCAAGCCATTAGCAATATCATTGCGAATCTTGTCTTCAGTAACCTGAATTCAAATAAAGAATATATTATACGAGAGTCCGCGATTCAAATGTAAAGTTCGAAACGAATAAAAGAACAAAACGGTCAAGTTTACATTCATCCGTTTAAAACAGTGGGTTTCGTCTTAAATTTTATCCATTCGTTTGTGAATAGTAGTCTTTTAATTTCTATTGCGATTGGAGAGTCAAAAATTTAAGCCGCAATAACAAATCGGTACTTATCGAAAATAACTATAATTTTGTCAAAAAAACCCTAAAAAATTGAGGCATTTTGGCAATGGCTTGTAATTCCTCGATAATTACCTCGCCTTCGGCAAATAATTGTTAAATATCATGTTGAGCATCATTGAATAATTGTTTTATTACCAGTATTAATTTTTCTACTCACTTCAGATCGTTTTTTCTCAAACACCATTTTGACATCATTTGAGCCTAGAATATACAGTAAACAACATCGGCGTGATTTATTTTTGATGATATTTATATACTCATACATCTGTCACTCTTGCTTCAAAAGTTATGAAGATTTCATAATATTGACCATATAGAGATTATAAAAGAACAGACTGGGGCATTGCGAGAAAAATCGAGCGAAATATGGGAGTGTTCCTTTAGTGCAATCCGGATTTGGATCTTCAATTCAAATCCGATTATCGATTTTCAGTTTCATTTAACAAAATCTTAAAATAGATTCGATTCTGATGAATCCATCTCAACATATGGATTCTTCGGATTCAATCTGAAACTTGATTAGGAGTCAACGTTCCTTTTGAGCTTCTGGCCTTCTACAGTATAGCATGTACCTTGACCCGACCGAAAGGTACAGTATATAGTGGGACAGAAAACTTATTGTAAAAATGGCGGGAAAGCAGTAGGCGAATTCCGATTTTCACAATTCGTTCCATTTGTTTAACGAATCCAAAAAATCCAAATCCTAAAAATCCAAATCTAGATTTACAAAAGAAACGCTTCTTATAGGCTTCCTAATGGGGGGAAATAACGCTCTCTGATTGGCTAAAATGTCATTGCCCACATATAAATTCTCATAGTCCCGGATGCAAAGCCGCGATGTTTAGAAAAAGCGGGAAATTTAAAGAAATACAATTTCGGAAGCCTTAATTTGTCCCTTTCGCTTGCCTGAACTTTTTAAATTATGCCAGATAAATCGCGCAAAAAATAGTTTCGACACAAAAACTTTATCGGAAGTCATTTCATCCTTGGTCATCAGCAAAATGGTTTATTGTTCTTCGGTGTGGTCGAATACGTCTGCCTCCAACGTGAAGAACGTTCAGTCGATCCAGAACTTTGCTTGCAAAATCGTCACGAAATCCAGGAAGTATGACCACGTAACTCCACTTCTACGTGAATTGAATTGGCTCCCAGTAGACAAACTACTATATTTTAGAGACGCCAGTTTGACCTATAAATGTGTGAATAACCTAGCACCCGACTACCTTTGTAACAAATTGATAAAAAGGTCATCAATCCACGACCGTAGGACTCGTACACACGACTCTCTTCAAATACCTCTATTTAAGACTGCAGCTGGCCAACGATCATTTACATATAGAGCCGTCCATATTTGGAACAATTTAGACAAGAACTTGAAAGACTGCTCTTCACTTAAAATTTTTGAAGTAGCACTTAAAAACATTTGCTTGCAAAAGATAACATTTAGTATAACCAACTAAACTTTGTATATAGTCTTTGATAATTGTTTAAACTTATATTTGTAACCTTAATTATTACTGCATGCATGTAACTGTAAATAATTTCTGAAAAACCCTTTTAGGGAGAAATTTATTAAATATCTATCTATCTATCTATCTTCCTGCAAAGCCCACTTTATTGTTTTATAATATCCATGATATTGACATACCATGATCAAAGTAGCAGTCCTCAGCTCCTGTAATCGTAGAGGTCTTCGGTGACTGACATTTATTGCAGTATGTTTTTCCAGACTGCTCTTGGTACATTGTCACTTCACACGGCAAACATGCTGCTCCATCTCTGCTGTAATAGCTTCCTGGAGGGCATGGAACTATAGAAAAAATAAGATTCGGCCGCTGTGATTTGGAATAAATCCGGAATGCGAGTTATCTAACCTTTAGTTACCGTTAGTACGGTTACCCAGCGGGCAAAATTACGTTTATCCAACGTTGAATCAACGTTGGAAATGACCTTGCAGACGTTGGATAGACGTTGAAAAAGGGTTGACTATGCAAATTGGATCGACGTTACTGTTTCAACGTTGAAACAACGTTGAAATTAGGTTGCCAATCTCGTCAACCATAATTCAACGTTGAATCCACGTTAAAACAACGTTGAGGTTGGTTCACAAATCGACGTCGTACATTTAACCATGAATGAACGTTAATTCAACGTCTGTTGGCTGCTGTTGAACCAATGTTTGTAAAACAACGTCAGAGCAACGTAGATATTAGGTTGTCGACGACGAAATTTCTACCAAATTTCAACGTTGAAACAACGTCGTGTGTCCGGTGGGTAGTTACTTTAAGGTCATGTTAAACGAGTCAATTTTTGCTCCAATTACTTGCAACGCAATTTTGGATACGGAGCCAGGTTATTTTAGAAGTACAGTGTCCGCTCTTCGGACACTTTCTTTTCTTAAAAAAAACTCATTAATAATTCATGAAGAAAAGACAAAGGAAATCACTGCCTTGTTAGTGGTTTTATATGTGATAAAAAATCATGTTCATTTACATAAACTTTAGCTTTGATTTTCTCGGCTTAGACAACGTTTATATTTAAAATTACTTTGCCAATGAACTCATCAGATGAGTCGTTTTATAAGCCATTTAAAACATTCGCATGCAGTTCCTGCTTTATCAGATTTAAAAAACTCGAGCTACGCTCTCGTGTATTCTGATAAAGCACTCCTTCTCGTGTTTTAAATTGTACATAACATAATCATAAGGGATTGAAAATGAAAGAAATAGATGGAAAATGTCGTCAGAGTAAACTGGGCCATGTTCACATTTCCTTGAGACATGTTTTAGATAACATGTACGCATATAGCTCTATCAGCCTCTATGTCGTGCATACGTAAACTAAATTAACAATGGTAACTACAATCATTGCCAATTGCTGCGGGACAACAGGTGCAATTTCATAGTGATCATTTTCTGATTTGAAGATCCCCCCCCCATATCAATATAGAGTTTGGCAAATATGACGTCATCGACAATAGCATATTTACTCAAAAGCCGGGCGCACGCGAGAGCTATCTGCTGAGCAAAAACTCACTCGTGACCATTGGCGCAAGCAAGTTCCCCCAGCGACGTTTTAAGAGCTTTTGTTCACGCGTGCCATGTTCACCGAAAATTCAACATGTTGAATAATCATGTGTGCACGAGTGGATGTATTCCCCACGTGTGTGAGTAAAGAAAGCAATAAATATATGCCACATATGTATTTTCAAGTGCAAATGCGTACATGTAATATAAGAAGTAGATCTAGAAGGCTTAGTAATCGTTGTTCTACGATCAATGCTTTAAAAAATTGTAACATTGCACACCCTTCGGAATTGTTCAATAAACTTTACCACATCTATCTCTATCCATCAACACAGAACCGCTCGGGCAATATGGAGGTGAAGCATTCTTTGGCGTTGGTTCTAAAACACGAATATTGAAATAAATTAATATTGACGGTATAGACAGTACTGTACTGAACGTTGATTTGAGTTCTTAATTTAACTCATTTATCCGTCCTTTTATCCGTCCCTTTCCCAAGTTACCATTGTTTTGTAGTTCATTGAAATACTTCGTGGTTCCCGTAACCTAACTGAACTATAAACATAATTCATACTGGATAACTTTATTTGTTCCAAACTGTTGTCGATGACAGGTCCAGGAAGTGCTATAACCTATTGATCCAGTATTGCTAAAGGAGGAAACCTAAACTAAACTAACTTTATTTATACTGGATAGCTCTATCAGTTTCAAACTGTTCTTCCTTATAGGTCCAGTAAGGACCATCTCTTATTAATCCAGTGTTACTACATGAGGAAACCTAAACTAAACTAACTTTATTTATATTGAATAGCTCTATCAGTTACAAACTGTTCTTCCTAGAGGTCCAGTAAGGATCATCTCTTATTGATCCAGTGTTACTACAGGAGGAAACCTAAACTAAACTAACTTTATTTATACTGGATAGCTCTATCAGTTCCAAACTGTTCTTCCTTATAGGTCCAGTAAGGACCATCTCTTATTAATCCAGTGTTACTACATGAGGAAACCTGAACTAAACTAACTTTATTTATATTGGACAGCTCTATTAGTTCCAAACTGTTCTTCCTAGAGGTCCAGTAAGGACCATCTCTTATTGATCCAGTGTTACTACAGGAGGAAACCTAAACTAAACTAACTTTATTTATATTGGATAGCTCTATTAGTTCTAAACTGTTCTTCCTAGAGATGCATGAGTATTGAGTAAAGATCATCAGATCTCTTATTGATCCAGTGTTACTACAGGAGGAAACATAAACAAAAATAACTTTATTTATTGGATATCTCTATTTAGTTATAAACTGTTCTCAATACAGGTCCAGTAAGTGCTATAACTTATATATTGATCCAGTATTATTACAAGAGGAAATTGTTGGAATTTTTACCTGTTTCGTTGAATTTTCACACATAAGCGATTGAAGCAAAGATTATAATCAGTCAGCAAGAAATTCTCAGTTAACTTACCATAGCATTTTGGAGGAGCGTTCGCGTTTGCAAGTCTGACATATTTCCCAACATTGTTTTTGCGTATCCATTTATTGTTATAACATTGCATCTTCAGGAAATTGGGAAACACTGCATTGTATCCAACCTTGCATCTTACTTCACATTTCACGGAGTTTGTGACGTTTTGACATGCCATTTCGCTTGTGGTTTTGAAATCCTCGGAACTCAAATTGAGATCATCACAGCCTATATCATTGACGAAATAACATAGATTTAGATTTAAAATGCAAGGGGAAAAGTTCTTGCAATAATGACATTAATTGAGGAAGGGCCGCGTAGTACATACGCGATACGCTACGGTACAGTACATTTTGCTTCAAGCATTTTGAACGCATGGAACCGGTAGGTTTTGCTAGGAACCTACGGCCCTGTGAGTCCGGTGCAGCTCTCTAACCAACTGATCAGAAGTCCCACTGGACCGCTAAAGTATAAATATAGTACAAATAAAGTTAGTTTATTATTTACTGTGAACAAATTAACTCACCGCATATTTCTCTCACAAGAACAGTGATATTTCTCTTTGCATTGCATCCAGCTTCACGCATCTTGCATTCATTGGCATAAGTCTGTAAATCTGAGCCGCAGACCAGACTTTTGCTATCTGTGCATGTGAAGTCGCATTCACATTTCGCCACACCACGGATAACTTTGCATGTTGCCCCATACCTACATTGCATTGTGCTGCAGTCGCCTGAAAGGCAAAAAAGTAAAAATAAATGTAACATTCATAAGCATATTGTTCTTTGGGCATGTCAGGATTTTGCGGGGAGTTGCGCACCTCCCCAAGATATTTACATCTTCCTCTAAAATAATTCATGCACCTCCCTTTGAGAATAAAGAAGCTCAAATGAAGTGCCCAAAATCAAAATTTGACTCAAGCTCATTTTGATCGATTAAATCCTTAACCTCAACATCATGCGGAGACTGCAGCCCAGATCGTTGCACCTTTATTAATAAATTTTCCACCTCCCCCAATATTTACACAAAAGTCCGATCTTATACTACGTATAATACATGCTAACGTTAAACCAGTAAGGGATGACTTATTTTGTTTAGGTTTCCTCCAGTAGTCTCATTAGTGGACCTCTAGGGGGAACTGTTTATAATAGTTAGAGCTATCCAGTATAAAGTTAGTTTACTATTAATTACTGCACGTGAACAAACTCACCGCATTTTGCTCTCACAAGAACGGTGATATTTCTCTTCGCATTGCATCCAGTTTCACGCATCTTGCATTCATTGTCATAAGTCTGTAAATCTGAGCCACAGACTAGACTTTTGCTATTTGTGCATGTGAAGTCACATTCACATTTGGCTACACCACGAATAACTTTGCATGTTGCCCCATACCCACATCGCACTGTGCTGCAGTCGCCTGAAAGATATAGAATAAAATTAGATGCCACATTCAAAAGCATTTTTTCTAATTACTCCGCATCTCATGCACGTTGACTAATTGATAATGTCAAACGATGGACCAAAAATCAAACTTTATCTGAAACGTACTTTGGCAGAGTAAGTTCTAAACCTTGACATCACACGGTTTTTTGTCGATTAATCTTTATTCGGCACACCTGTGCGATTAATTTTAATAGGCACAACTTTTAACCAAACAGAATCGAGTAAATTGACCAAAATGATATTAGATAATTTATGTGGCCTCCAACATGAAATAGCTTCCCTATAATTGGAAACCTTCATTTCAAGTTAAATAAATTGTTCGAAAAATACTACTTGAAGAATTGCTAAAACCAAAAGGCACATTCCATGTTACCCTCTACGTCTCGTCACCCCACGCCTTATTACTCTTACCTTTGAGCCCCCCCCCCCCCCCCCCCCATTGTTCGCGTTCCAGTTCTACAATACTGAACCGGTTCGATTGGTGGAGGGGAACTACAATAAAATTATATGCCTGTATACCGCATACTCCTTTGATGACCACCGTAATATTTGTACGTGAGAAACATCTTGTGACATTCATGAGGCATTCGTTGTTATAAGTCTGACCATCTGACCCGCAAACAGGGTCGTAATGCTGCGGGCAGATTGCGCTGCAGGCACATGTGTAAGAGTTCCCAGTTGTAGTGTCCAGGACACAATTCGCACCGTGTGTACACGTCACACCGCGGCATACGTCTGAAACGAAATTCGAGGATCAAGTGAGAATTGAACTGTTGTTGATTTTTCAAATAAGCTATGTCAAGTGCCATACTTTGTACTGGATAGTTCTACAGTACCAGTTTTAAACTGTTCTTTCTATCAAAACATTAGGGCTGCTTCTTAATATATAGTACTACCGACACTGGACGGCCCACGTTTGAGATATCTTTAGATAGTTCAGACACAAACTATAGCAGCTATTCAGCGATCATCCTAAGAAAAATTTAGAACTGCCCATTTCGACTAGAAGAGACTGTGAGATAGTGAACACAGTCTAACTGTGTGACAGTAACGAGAGACGAGGTAATGGCGTATTGCATACCTGAATAGTTAAGAGGGTCCTGGAGGGCATGCTCCCCCGGAAATTTGAAAGTCCAGAATGGCCATTTCCTGCGTTTTCAGAGTGACATTTGGTTTTGCTTTTGCCTTAAATATCTGTATGGGCGCCTAAAGGTAGGGTACAGTCCGTATGTAAACAAAGCCTTTGTTTACATTTCGATATTCAAAATATTGAACTTTATTCGACAACTATTTGTATTTTCATGCTTCTACAGTATAATAAATGATCAAGATACAACAATCAAGCTCTGCAAGAACATAAAATGAAATAAAAACCTAATTAAAGTAAAAATTAAAGTGTTTATATCGCGGCAGGAGACTCCTATGTGCGCATGCGTAGACCGGACTATGCCCTATTTTTAATTTGTAACTAATTTTCATATAAATCTCGAAAACTCAATTTTAGAACTGCCCATTTTAAGTTCTAGAACTATGCCCATTTTACATTTAAAACTAAAAGTCGAAGGATGATCCCGCAGCTATTGTAGAATACTATCTGCACTCGGATCCGACACTAATTTGTGATATCGTTTTCAGGCCAGGCAGTTCAGGCACAAACCCACTAGATTTTCTACTTTAATTTGTTATGATACTCACAATAAAATACTTACTGACAACAGTCACACTAAAAGCACAACTTGCAGATAATCCTGCAGCGTCAACAGCTGTGTAATTCACCACGGTGATGCCAATAGGAAAATAAGAGCCATGAGGGTAGCCTTGAATGTAAAGGTTGGGTGGTTTTGCATTATCTGTGGCTACTGGCTTCTTAACAGAGGAAGGTAAGCGGGTAGAATGTTCGTCATCTGTGTATAATGTGACGCCATTTGGACAGCTTGAACCAAAGGTCGGCGGCTCTCGATCTGCAATAATAATAATGATAGCTAGTTAGCGTGGTTGTGGCGGATATCGATCCACTGACCCAGGGACGCCGGAACTGGGGGGGGGGGGCAGGAGGGGCAGCCGCCCCCGTTGCCCTTTACCAGGAGGGGCAAGGGAGGCAAAGGTGCCCTTTCAATTTAAAGGATTGCCTTGGCGAAATAGCGAATTGTCAGAAATGTCAGTGCGATTCTTTTACGGATTTGCTTCGGAAAACGCAAGAAATGCAGTCATCGAGCTTCAAGAATAGCACAATCGCCTGGCGGAGAACCCCCATAGACCCCTATCATCGAATAAATAGAAAACATGATTAGGCGAACTTCAACTCCCAATGTTTTGTAAATATCTCTTAGTATATATCAATTCAAAAGTGCCCTTTCACGAAAATCTACCCCCCTTGCCTTCACATCGTTCCGGCGTCCCTGCACTGACCTATTAGCACAACTTTTAATCGTGAAAATGGTGAAATATACAATAAAAAAAATGCATCTTAATATTTAATAATTTTGCTGTGTCTGTATGTCAAACTGAAAGAATATTGTGATGAGGCAATGCAACATAGCCTGTAACTAATTTTCCTTCAATAAGAATGGGGCCATTGTATTGTTGCGATGGATATATTTATAGGAGAGTTGATTGCCCAAGTTTGCATCAATTGTTCAAGGCGTGCTGTGTTGCCAGGGTTCAATCTCTTAGATTTGGCAGCAAGATTAGAAAATAATGCTTTGTTTTACCAAGGTGCAGTAGTTTTGATAATACATTGGCAAAAGAGTCTTAATTCTTGGACATATTACTTCATTAACCTCAATTAATATTGCGTTAATTGCATAAATTGAATATTTATATCTATTTATTTATTTATAACTTTGCCGACTAGAGCAGGGTCACCACAACAGCATATGCCAATTACTGTGAGCCCTTTTTACCTAACCCACCCTGTCAACTTTACCTGTGGGAGGAACCCGGAGAAAACCAACAACTTTTACATAAAGACTGGGTTCGAGTCGCATTGAGAAAGTTCTCGCTGAGGCTTGAACCTGCGGCCTTAGAGGTGAAAGGCAAGTGCGCTAACCACTTGGCCACCGAAGCCCCATTAAGAGTCCTTCATGAAGAGTCGTTTTATACTCCTTCTATAGCATGTATACGCTTCGAACTTAATTTAATTAAAGTTTTAGCTTAATTAATTAAAGTTTGGAGCAACTTAGCCAGGCGACTGCTCCGGGTAAGGTCTAATACAATGTATAAAAATTCACACTCGAAATTTACATCTACAAATCCCTTCCACAATCTGTTTCCATGAATTTTATATATTTTTTGTTAGACCAAGACTTACATTGGGAGCGGCATATTGAGTTCGACATTTGATTCAACACCGCCTCAACGTAGCCTGCGAACAGGCTCTCAAGCTGAATTGAGAGCCTGAATCGACGACTAATGAATTTGAATATCTGCGTCTCAAATCGTGACGCGAAATTCTCATTGGTCGGTCAGATGCTATAATTTATATGTTTCCGCTGAGCTCTATATATGTCAACTGCTGAACTATGCATAAAAAACACATTAACTGATCAAATTGGTCTTGGTCGTCTTATCTCAAAGCACGAAATGTTCTGTTTTGAGAAAACACTATTTAAAATATTGAACTTTTGCTCGAATGTCTTATATTTCGAAAAACAGTATAAACTGTACGGTCTAAATTTAGTTTACACGGTCTAAATTTAGTTTGCACGAAAGTTGTAAACAACACCATATAAGGATAGACATTCCACATTTGGAAAAACGAACGTTACGGGGCAGATATTCAAATTCATTAGTCATCGATGCAGGCTCTCAATTCAGCTTGAGAGCCTGTTCGTAGGCTACCTCAACGTCGCTCTGGTATCGACTCGAATTGTATTAGGTTCATGAGTTCATCGCATAAAAAAAGCAATGTTTGATCCGAGCGTTATAATGTACGCAACTAACCTTCAAGTATGATATAAAAATAACAATCCGCGTATGCTCCAAATCTGTCGGCCGTGGTTAAACGAACACTGTGCAGCCCAATATTCAATTTTACCGGCGGAGCATAACCAGTGGGCCAAATGCTAACTTTTAGATTGACTCCGTCTTTGTCCGTGGCTGTGGGAATTGCCCAATTTACTATTGCATAACTTTTCCCTGGGCTTGTAGGAACTGTTGTATCATTGGGACAATAACTGAATGTCGGTTTAATCCTTGCTGAAAAAAAAATGATAGAAGATAAGAGATGATAGTTTATCAAAAGCATTAAGTGTGAGAGAATATATACAGTTTGATTCTACCCAACAATACTGCATTGCAGGTTTTTTCTGGTTTCTTCCTGAAGGTAGTAGGAGTGCTGTGCCTTGTACATGCTTAATGCAAAATTTCATGTAGCATTAATCTCGGCGACTAGAGTTCGATTTCTGCCAGGTGCACTTTTCTGATCATAATTTCACCTCAATTACGAGAAGAGTGATTCCAGTTTGACTCTACCAAACACAGCAGATTTCCTCTCACTTCCGGTACTTCGGCTGGCTTCTGCAGTAACTGGTTCAATAGGAAAGATCACCAGATACCTCACTGGATCAATTGGGAAAACAGTTTGAAAACTATAGAGCTATCCATTACAAACAAAGTTAGCTTAGTTTAAGTTTCCTCCCATCGTAACACTGGACCAATATAAGAGATCATGATACTTGCTGAATGTCTACAGGAAGAACAATTTGGAACTGATAGAGCTACCCAGTATAGGTTGGTTTAGTACAGGTTTCTTCCTGTAGTAATGCTGGACTAATAAGAGTTGTCCTTAATTACTGGATCGCTAGGAGCAGCAGCATAGAACTGATAATTGAAGATCTATTATCCTTCTGTAGTAACAACAGACCAACGGACATGAAAGAAAAACAACTTGGAACCAATAATGATATCCAGTATAAATAAAGTTAGTTTCCTTTAGGTTTCCTCCTGTGGTAACACTGGATCAATAAGGTATGAAACTTACTGGATCTCTAGGAAGAGCGAGTTTAGAACTGGTAGAGCTATCCAGTATAAATAAAGTTAGTTTTGTTTAGGTTTCCTCCCTAGTAACACTGGATCAATAAGAGACGACTCTTACTGGACCTCTAGGAGTTTAGAACTGGTAGAGCTATCCAGTATAAATAAAGTTAGTTTTGTTTAGGTTTCCTCCCTAGTAACACTGCATCAATAAAAATTATTTTTACCGAGCTTTTCTAGAAAGAACAGTTTAGAACTGGTAGAGCTACCATTATGAATAAAGTTATTTTACAACACTTACTAATGCAGGTCGGCGTATCATCAATCCATTCACCATTGACACATATATTCCGCGAGTATCCTATTAATTCGTATCCTTGGTCACATGTGAATTTAGGTTTCCTCCCATAGTAACACTGCATCAATAAAAATTATTTTTACCGAGCTTTTCTAGAAAGAACAGTTTAGAACTGGTAGAGCTACCATTATGAATAAAGTTATTTTACAACACTTACTAATGCAGGTCGGCGTATCATCAATCCATTCACCATTGACACATATATTCCGCGAGTATCCTATTAATTCGTATCCTTGGTCACATGTGAAATGGCAATCTCCGAAGTGTGGCACAGGGTTTGAGTCACAGTTGACTGAGCCGTTCCCCGGTGCTGGGGGTACCTTGCAAGCTAAAAAAGTTAATTAAATTCATTTCAATAAGATTGTCTTCAGAAGGGTCACACATGCAGCAGACTCCGGATGACTCCGGATGATTTTCTCTGGGTGTACCGGACTGTCATTTTGTAGTAGCCATTGATCAAGAGAGATGACAGCTTAGAATTAATAGAGCTATCCAGAATAAAGTCACTTTAGTTTAGGTTCCTCCTGTAGTAACACAGCATCAATAAAAGCACGACATTTACTGGACGTCTTTGGAGAACAGTTTCGAGCTTTAAAAAGCTGTTTATGCAGTATAAATTTAGTTAATTTAGTGTAGGATTTCTCCTGTGACAACAATGAATCAACAACGGATTGCTCTTACTAAACCCCTAAGGGATCTAGAGAGAATAGCTTAGAACTATAGAACTAATAGAGCTATCCAGTATAAATACAATTAGTTTAGTTTAACTTAGCTCTAGTAGGAACACTTGACAATAAAGCATGACCTTTACTGGACTTTCACGCGCTGTCTAATATAAGCATAAATACTGCATACAAAAATTTGTAGTTACTTTTTCCAGGTGGTGTTGTTGGTGGTGTGGATGTAGGGCTTGTATCGTTTAAGCATTTGGATAGAGTTTCGTCATAATCAGTACCATTCTCACAGCCACATTTACGTCCACCAGGTATCCCAAAACACAGCTGGTCGCATCCACCATTGTTTATTCGGCAGGGATGAGTGTCTAGATATAATTTGAATAAAGATTGAAGAGATTCTAAGGGCTGTTCTTCAATGCACAGTGGTTGGTGCATATGCCTTATTACTCCTGGTATTCTGGTTTCCTCTCATGGGTCCTGTCTGGACCTCTAGGGAGAACAGTGTGGAATTGATAGAACTATTCAGTACAAATGAAGTTAGCTTATAACTTAGGTGTCCTCCTGCAGTAACACCGGTTCAATACATGCCTCTAAGAAAAAGAGTTTGGAACTGATTGGGCAATTCAGTGTAAATATAGTTAGTTGAAAACAAGGGTCACCATTATATTAGGGAGCTTAAGCATGTAGGACGGCAACACGACGACGATGGCAACCAATACAATGAGTCAATGAAAAGATATAAATAATTAAAGTCCCAGGGGAGTTTTAGACGTAGTCATCGCTTATACAACGCCTGCATTTCAAGCCGTAACAAGTGCAACTCAAAATTCGGTTCAGTCGAACTCTTCCCAAACATAAAGTCAATGTTTTCAACTTCGTATACATACTGTATTAAATTCATACGAAATATAATATACGACAAGTTTCAAGGCCGGGACTAGTTGAAGGGGTGTAACATCCCAAAAAAGGTTTGAAAAGGGGGCCCAACTATCCAAAGAGGGAGCCCGGAATGCTGGAATTGCGGAAAGTGTGAAATATTAAGGAATTTTCTGAAAGATTGAGGTCGAAAAAGGTCTGAAAGAGTAATTTTAAGCGCCATTACCTGAAACTAGCGTTTCGATGTTTCGAATAACGTTTCGAAAATTCAGATACAAGTTTTCTTTACTATCATTTATTTGGAGGAATTTGTTTTGACCGTCGTCGTCGTCTTGCCGTCCTACATGCCTAAGCAGTCCCTTTTACTGCATGGGCATGTACGGACAACAGAGTATAACTGATAGAACTAACCAGTGTGAACAAAGCAGAAAAATCATGCTTACCTATTGTGACTACCGTTGCACACTTTGAATTACAGCATTTTTCGTCATTCGGACACTCTGAGTCACTGTTACAAAATTGCTGAGATCCCCGACTCCCACTAGTTGGACAGCGACCAGGCCTTACCACTAAAAGAAAATAGAATAATTATAGTTTATACTTTGTACTGATTCAAAACTGGAAATGAACATAGGCAAATTGCAAAGTTATCCATGTTCAAAATCTGTGCAGTGTTCGCTAGTAACTAAGCAAATTTACTTCGCCACTTTCCTTAAGTAAAAAATTCAATATTTAATTAGCTTGTAACGAAGTATTTTTTTAAAAAAATACTTTTTACTTGTAACGAAGTACGATTTTTGTTAACTTTGTTACTTTTTGTTTTATACAGAGTGTTTAAAAGGCGAAGTAAAAAAAGGGGGTCAACGTGGACTGGAAATATGCCAAGCAAGGTGCCCAAAATTTAAATAATTTAATCATTAAATTTAAATTAAATTTTCTCCATTTATTTAATTTAAATTGAATTACGCAGTGAGACAAATCAGGATTTGCAATTTTTAAACGAAAACATTATAAACAAACCTTGCGCGCATTCGCGAACTCTAAAGCTACTGTAGTAGCCACTGGCACATCCCCACAAGTATCTCTCTTTCACAGCACACGACATCCAGTCATTGCACGGACAGCGCCATGTGTAACCCACGATATCTCGACAATACAGCCCGCATGTCGAGTTCTCCCGCACTTCATTGTATCCGGGCGGGCACTGGGGAGGTGCATTCATTGATGGACATGATGTAGATCGGATGCAGGTAAAATTGCCTCCCGATTGAGGGAACGAAAACGTGTAGTGTAGTTTTTGTTCTGAAAAAAAAATTGAAGACGATCGGTTCTGGTTATTCCTGTAGCCCCATATATAGCACCTACTCATCCAAGGCAAAACTCTGCTAATGAAATCATTGGAGTTCATTAATCACCCTAAAGGCCTGTCTATACACGGTACGATTAATCATACACGATCCCCATTCTGTGTATGAAAATTACTACTTACGCCAAAGTTCAAATTCCTCTTCATTTACTTTATGGCGAAATTTATTTACAGAAACAAAATTCTCTGTGAGCCGTGTTTAAAACCAGCTTGAATATTTGAAAAACGATTAAAATATAAATATTCTGCATGGTATGAATTTAGTATAAGCTTGAATATACAGAAATTTGTGTATAAGGAGAAATTGGTGAGGTGTTCTGCTTTTCAACTGACCCCCGATATTTTAAAGTTTGTTTGTCTTAATTGTATTGTGTGAAGGGTCGCTGTAATAGAAGATCAGTGATACCACTATAACCACATTATACATAACCTGAATTGAATATCAGTGATACCACTATAACCACAATGCAAAGCGCTACGAATACGTAATAAGGGGAATCATCTATTGGCGAAAGCTGTATCGTACACCCAGCCATGCATGTCAATGTATGTATCGTTTATGTTAATGTGTGTATAGCAAGTGATTTTAAGTTGATTTGGCAAAGTCTAATATTGTAGCACTGGACCACCACGTTTGCGATATCGTTGTAAAATGTAATAATACACGCACTTACGTTGTTTCTGTATGCCACTATAGGCATGTATATCCATAGGTTTCCCAAGGTTACCCGCCATTAATACGATATTAGCCCCAGAGTTCACGTCAGCACGATATACTGCATCAGTATACCAATCAGTCCAGTAGATATGATCGTCTAGTAATGTTAGGCCATAGGGGTGGTTCACTTGAGTAGTGAGAGAAAATAGGTGGCCAACTAAATAAAATTTGAAAACATGTATAACATATAAATGAAGATCGATATCTGTGATGATTGGACTTTGATCACCCTTCAAGGCCCTCCAACCATTCAATGACAGCACACACCCTTAACTTGGGGCCTGAATTTGAGTACAGCTTGCGTTAACGATATACGTCCTTTGAGTCGCACTCTCTTGTTCTTAGTGATACTAACATTGATTGATAGGGGGATAAACAGATTAGAATATTTGAATAATGTTCCAACAAATGGCAGAAATGAACGGACAACATGTGTTAACGCAGGATAGTTTTCGTAGTCTATTGAACATAATCGTGCGAAATTAAATATATCTGCATTTAATCAACGTGCATATCCCATCCACTTTGGTGTATGCAACGGATACATTCCAATTAGAATATATGTGGAAACTTGTGTAAATTTTCACAGCTAGCAGAAAGTCGAGATCATGTTATCAAATGCATAGCGAGGCAATTGCGTACTCAAGAATAATACATTGGATTTCGTCCGTGATATTTGCAGCGAAGAACTAAACTCGGTGAATTCCCTTGTGTTGTGGGTACAACTGATTATATACATATATGTAAATGCTATGATTTTAAAACATGTGAATCCACTGACAACACTCATATAAGAAACGACAAGTGGTAGTCGGACAAGTTGAGAGCATCCAGTTACTAGTACTGGGCGTTACTATGCCTCAGCTCAATGACAGATCACACTTCCTGGACGTCTATATAAGGATGAACATTTTTGAACTGAGATAGTTATCCAGTGGACCAATAATAAACGATATCCCTTACTGGACTTCTAAGGAGAACAGTTTAGAGTTAATAGAACAACAAAGCTATCCCATTTTAAGAAAGACTTGACTTGGCGTTTAACGTGTGCAGGCCCCCCCCCCAGTAAAAAAAAAGTGAAAAAAGCGTCCTTTTTTCTGGGTTAAAGTGACCCATTTAAAAAACGAAAAAAGTATTTCTTGAATGAACGTCCTCTTTTGCTGGAAAGGAAGTGCCCTTTTTGCAGTAGTAAAGACTCAATTTCCAACGTTATAGAGACTCCATATTTTCAAAAAATTTCGTTCGGCTCGTGAACGACATAAAATCGTTTGATTTTGATCATATATAAAAGTGCCCTTTTGGCCAATGCCCCTCCACTTTCGAAATGCTTCCGCGGCCTCTAACAAAGTGTTTCACTTACGAATTAGTATTTTCTTGTTGAGGACAACTTTTCGTCCGAGAGTCGCGAGGTCCATAACTTCTATGTTGTCCTCCCTAGCATCGGCCCAGTACAGCTTATTATAGACATGATCAATTGTTAGACCATTGGGCCAGCGAAGGGTGTGGTTCACCAAATCCATTCTGTTTTCTCCGTTCATGTAGGCGCGTTCGATTCTTGGAAAACGACCCCAATCAGTCCAATACATATAACTGAAAATAAATAAGGGAATTAATGTGGTTCTGAATAACAGGGTGTGCACCTTTGGCATGCTATTGTGCATTGTTTATCACGTTTATCCATTACCTTTTTTCGTTGTAATAAAAAATACGAAAAAGAATACCTATTGCATGACGTATTAGTTAACGCACAAAAACTAAGCATGTGCCGATTGTGCTCGGCAACTTTCGAGCAACTTCAAGGAATTTTATCCTTTTTGAGCAATTTTTGAGCAATTTTTTACTAGAATTCAAACTTTACAGTATGAAATGTAATTTCATGTGATAGACAACTTCATTGTCTTGCTTCTCACGAGCAAACTGACTCTGGGTACGAGGTTGCTTCATTTCTGTGATATTTTTCTGTCTTTTTTTAAAATCTTTTTATGACCATTGTTTTGCTATTTGTAAAGCTTTTGTAAAGAAAACGTTTTCTCTTTATAATTCCAAACAATTTATCCCGGCTATACGGAAATTGTACAAAGCTTTTAATTGACATATGTCGTGAAATTAACGCAATGAGTACAAACTTTTTGAATTTTAGTAGCAACCTTTTTTATTTCCGGTAATTTTTATGCGAAACTAATTCTGAGAAACTAATTCTGAGAAATTTCTAATTCTGAGAAACTTTTATGCTTTTTAGAGAGCAACCTTTTGTTTTACTCTCTTAAATTTTAATTTTGGGATATTATGAGCACAATCGAGACATATGCCTAACAATAACATGTCAAATACCTTTTCTTTGATGCACCCTGTACAGTTTTCAAATAATTCATGGCATAACTAGGGGGACATTACCCCCCCCCCCCCAGAATGCCAGAATGAAGAATGCCAGAATGCGAGACCATTTATACAAACTACGAACACATTTATACTAACCATTTATACAAAATTTAACACTGCTTATATGCTGATTGCGCAGATCGTGCAGTGATCTTTTCAAGCTTTTTGCGGCTTATAATTGGTCGTTAATTTGCTTCGATTGCTCATTAATTCATCATGAGTCACTGAGTCATGAGATCAATAGATCTATGCATAACTGCATATCCGTATTTTTGTAGATTTTGAACAATTTTTCGAAGGTAGGAGAAATCACTACACGCTATATATGCCGTGTGCGTGTGCGGTTCGTGTTTCTACTTAGTCAAAAACTGCGGTAAACGTTTTTTAAATTTAGCTCCCCAAAAGTGAGATATGTTCCGCCATATCATGCCAACACATGCGTACGAAATTCACTCTAAGATAGCCTATGACTTTTTTAGAGCGTTGACGGATACTTTTCACATAAGTGTCACGAGTATGCAGCGGGAATCAAAACCAGGATCTCAGAAGTGAAAGGCGCTGTCTTGCTCTGAAAGTTGTGCGACCAAAGCCTCCTATTTGTTTACCAGTCCATGTATTCATGGCAATACGTTTGGATAGACCGAATTCGAAGATCAATAGACCTTTCCCCTTTTGAGTGAAATTTTGATCTAGACAAGTCTGGACAAAAATTTCATCACAGCTTGAAAGAGCATCACAAAATTAGTAATATTCAGAAGTTTCGTTGCGAAATGTTGTAAAATGCGGATAATATAGTCTTGCGAAGTTTGCCGTTTTTCAGTCATTTTGTATTACAAATGGGAAATTGGTAATCAGTTTGATCATCCGATTATCAATTTCCCGTTTGTAATGCAAAATGACTGAAAAACGGCAAACTTCGCAAGGCTATATTATCCACATTTTATAACATTTCGCAACGAAACTTCGGAATATTACTAATTTTGTGATGCTCTTTCAAGCTGTGATGAAATTTTTGTCCAGGCATATCTAGATCAAAATTTCACTCATAAAGGGAAGATCTATTGTTAAAATTCATTTTTGAATAAAATTTTGCCGTACTCTACTAAGTAATCTCCTATATTTAGCGGCGACGAAGGCTGGCCCCGAGGGTTGCCGTGTAGTAGAGATGTTTACACGCGGTGGCGTAACTGGAGGGTGTCCTGGTGACAAGTAACGGGGGGAGGGCACCCCTCGAGGGCCCTCGGGGAAAAAAACATAAAAATTTTTGCTGATAGATTTCCGAGAAATTGAATAATGAAAAATAGAAAAGCAGTTATTAAAATACACGAACTAGTAGTTAGAATATATGTAATTCCAAAATATTCTCACAATAGGCCTATATACCTCTCACTAATTTTAGTTATAATTTTGCGACAATGTGATGTGATGTGCGGATGTGATGTGATGTGATGTAAGGCAATTGATAAAACTAGAATAGTGAAGCGAATAGTGCGAATAGTGCGAATGGTCGACGAATAGTACGCGAATAGTTGACGAATAGTGCGAATAGTCCGCGAATAGTCGACGAATAGTACGAATAGTAGAATGAATAATAATTACGGGACCACTGAGTTTTAACAAATATTTAACAGGAAGTAGAGTGACAATCACTAGCATGACGTTTTCCACTGGGCGAATCCGTTCGCGCGAAGCGACAAGTAAAAGAGTAGGCTGATCCAACTTTTTTGCGGCGAATTTTTTCGCTGACCAATCACATTGCCGAAATTTGGTTTTCGCTTCGCGCGAACAAACTCGCCCAAAAAATGCATCGCATCGCAATGCAATGCAATGCGATGCGATGCGATGCGATGCGATGCGCAATGCAATGCAATGCAATGCAATGCAATGCAATGTAATGTAATGTAATGAAATGAAATCTAATGTAATGTAATCTAATGTAATTTAATGTAATATACCTTATTCTTAAACTAAAGATATGTAAGTGAAGCACAACAGACTGCCCCAATCAATGCAATGCAATGCAATGCAATGCAATGCAATGTAATGTAATGTAATGAAATCTAATGTAATGTAATCTAATGTAATTTAATGTAATATACCTTATTCTTAAACTAAAGATATGTAAGTGAAGCACAACAGACTGCCCCAATTAACGCCTCCCACATGCGAATGTGTTGACTTCAATACAGCATGTTCTTTAGTGCGGGGGGGGGGGGCGGCTGATTGAGAAAGGAGCCTTCTGAGGATGCGTTACGCCAATGCTTACACAGCGTAAGTGGTGGATTAAATTATCCAGATGGAGTGTGACGTATTTTGAGCAATTGAAATAAGTCGCACTTCATATGATCTAACAAAATTGCTTGTTATAAATTGTATGAAATTCCATGTTTTAGACAAAAAAATGTTGTTGAATGTTATTAATCGTCTCCTTCCACTACATAACTTCTAGCGCGTTCCTAATTTCGTTTAAACAATATTTAAAGTTATCTCACTTTTGTTCAGGGCTGATCGAAACATATATTGCAATTGCCCAAAGTACGTCACACTTCATTGAATCCCGGCTAAACGAGACCATATAAACAGCCCCTGAAACCTACCCGTCAATCGGATCCACAATAATGTCCCGCGGTTCGTCCAAATTCAAACTGACCAGGGTCTTTCTATACGACCCATCCAGTTTAGAAATTTCAATGGTATCATCCGATGTGCTAGTCCAGTACAACTGCCGACCTGCAAAGTCTATAGTCAAACCATCGGCAACGCCAATACCCCTGAAAAGCACTTCAAAACCAGTCCCATTTCTGAAAGCCCGGCAGATTATATTTAGTGTAACATCACTCCAGTATACGCGGTCCTCTACTCTGTCATACTCCAGTGCCACAGGTCTGCTAATGGTGGTATTTTCATCAAATGGAACTGCGATAGGCTTCACGTTCATGCTGTCCAATTGCATCTGGTATATTTTGCCAGCATCGGCGTCCGCAAACATTATAAACCCTGGTAAGGAAAAGGAAATTAACATTAGCGAGGGTGGAACCGGCAGATACAGTTAGCAATCTGTTCTTTCTCTCTGAGTTAAGCCCTGTTTCTTAGCGAAGCGAAGCCTGCTACTGTTGGTCGACTGAAGGGTATTGTCTCTTACTACCGACTCTTAACCCAGCTACTGTAGGTCGAGGGAAGGGTATTGCTTCAAGAAAGAAAGGGTGACAGATGTGGTTAGAGCGCTGTCTCTTAGCGAAGCGAAGCCTGCTACTGTTGGTCGACTGAAGGGTATTGTCTCTTACTACCGACTCTTAACCAAGCTACTGTAGGTCGAGGGAAGGGTATTGCTTCAAGAAAGAAAGGGTGACAGATGTGGTTAGAGCGCTGTCTCTTACTGTTGAGTTAAGCCTGCTACTGTAGGTCGACTGAAGGAAATACCATTAGAGAAACAAGAGTAACAGATGTGGTTAGAACGGTGTCTCTTACTACGAACTCTTACTAGCATGCTACTTTAGGTCGAGTGAAGGGTATTGCTTCAGGAAATCAAGGGTGACAGATGAGGTTAGGGCGCTGTCTCTTACTGCTGAGTTAAGCCTGCTACTGTAGGTTGTGGGTAGGGTATTACTTTAGGGAGGCAAGGGTGACAGATGTGGTTAGAGGGCTGTCTCCGTACTGCTGAGTTAAAGTTACAGGACACCCTTTTTGGCGTTTTGCGGAAAATCGCTACTGCGCGCTCAATATCAGTCCGATTTTCATCAAATTTTCACCAAATGTTCTCAAGTGCATGCAAAATATGATAAAGTTGTTAAATTAACAAACAATAAAATAATGTAAGAATTATTCAGGAAAATCTTAAATCGCGGTACCGTTACGCTTTTGAGTTGTGCTCCTGCTGGTTTTAAGTTATATTTATGAAAACATCATTTTTATACAGTAAAATAGTTGTTCTAAAAAATTGTGTTCGGAAATTTTTGTTTATTTCGTCATTCCGCTGATATGGCGATTTCTTTGACGACTGCAATATATTTCTGAATTGTTTGAGTGAATTGCTCTTTATTTTTAAAATATCCAAAATTTAAAAAAAGCCGAACACAATTTTGAAACTGACGTATTTAGATATGTCCGTGAAAATTTGAGAAAAATTGGTTAAAACCCGCAGGAGCACAACTCGTTTGAAAATCAGTAATTACCGTAAAATTTTTCGGGAGAAAATTGAATTTGAATATTACATTTTCAATGTTTTTCTTATTGCAGCGAAATGTATTTTATTAAATAACTCTGCCAGTTTTCAACATTTTTCGTTCAAACTTGGTCAGATAGTAGAACTAGTCTAATGCTTTCATTGAAACCAATAAAAAAAATTTAGGCAAAATTAACACTCAAAGGTGTTCTGTAACCTTAAGTCTGTAATTGTATGTAGTAGGTAGGGTGCCTCTTTGGGGAAGCAAGGGCGAAAGATGTGGTTAGAGCGCTGTCTCTCATTGCCGAGTTAAGCCTACTACTCCAGGTGGGCCTTAATTACAAGGTACGATAATTGAAATTCTTTTTGTCGTACTCACACTATAGTGCTCCATTAAGTATTTCCACGTATACTTAGCTGGTACAAACTTAAAACTGAAGATATACTTAGTCTTTAAGGCGAAGTACATAAAAAGCAAGTTTTTCTAAAAAGTGTTGATCCAAATTTAATTAATAAAATAATCTGAAATTCCGAGTTAGAACACGAAGGAGCATACTTGCACATATAAACAAAGACATTAGTCTCGTCGAATCCGAATATTCGCATCAGTCCCATATCGTATTTTATGCCAAGACAATTAAGTTAGAGATATCGGATTTGACCAGATAGTTATTTAAATATTTAATTACGGTTTTTGAATACCCTGAGAAGTTTGCTGGTCACATATTGTACAAGTAAAACGCAAGTACGAACATAGTGAAAGTATCTCATAATTACCGGGCAGGCCGCCGAGAAGTTGCGCGGGGGCAAAATTTTCTCAGGAGGCACTCCGTAAAACGTATTTCTCTATCATGAAAACATTTTCTGGAAATGTTATCCGGAAAAATATTCCAAGGGATCATCATCATTACGGCATCAACTATTTCGCTGACCTCAGAATGGCATTTCGTCAAAACGTTTTTCTTCAACATTGGTTTAGAAACGAATTTGTAGTAGGGTTAGGTTAGGTTAGGGTTAGGGTAAGGATTAGGGTCAGAGTTGGTGTTTGGAGTAGAGTTGGTGTTAGTAAAACCATTGCTTTGTTACGTTTTGTCACTAATTGAGGCCAGCGAACCATCATTACAACACCTGAATATAAACCCCTCTTTATCCCTAAAATTCCCTTACCAGCTTTAAAAGCGTCCTCACATGATTTGTTATCACTCGTTAGTTTCATGCCAAGCTGACATCCGCAGGAGGTGCCAGTTGGAACCTTATGAAAGCATAACTGCTCACAGCCACCATTATTATTGCCACAATTACTGGTGCCTTGAATGATATAAAACAATTTTATAATTATTTATTTGATTCCTATAAAGTATATACGACACAAAACTGTTCATTAGTCTTACAGTTGATTTCATATAACTTTTCCCTGAATGTTGCGAACTTCGTTCCGAACTTCGTTGTGAAGTTCAAAAGTTCATACTGAAATTTACAAGCCGGTTTGTAAACAAAGCCTCTGATTGGCATCTGAACAAACTGAATAAGCCAATCAGAAGCTTTGTTTACAAACCGGCTTGCGAATTTCAGTATGAACTTTTGAACTTCACAACGAAGTTCGGAACGAAGTTCGCAACATTCAGGGAAAAGTTATGTGAAATTAACTGTAAACGAAAGAACTCGTAAAACTGTAGCGTATCTGCTTTTATAGATTTTTATTTCTACGTTTCATTGTTGAAATATTTCATTTTCTAATGCAACCAACACGTCACTTGCATATTAGTGAAGGTTTCATATTTGTTGTTACGAATCATATAGATTTGTTCGTGAAATACAATCACATTATTTTCGTACAGCAATGTTTCATAGTTTCCCAAGACCTAAACCTACAGGGTGTATAAAAAAAAGGTAATCGAACTTCAGCGCGCTATAGTATCTGAATTACTATGCGTATAAACGAGATTTTTTCACATTCGAAAAGATCATTCTTTTAGCTGTTGAATGATATCTTCTTCATGCCAAATGGATAAAAAATGAGCAAATACGAATCCGATAAAAAATGTTAGGCAGAATCGCATATTTTCACCGTTGAGAGTTGGGTCTAAAACCATTGAAAATGAACTCCCTTTGGTACTTAAGATTTATTCCTACTAAGATTTATTTCTACTTAATAATAATTATGAACATGTGCGTCGTTTATTGAAATGATTCAATAAACGACGCACATGTTCATAATTATTATTAAGTAGGAATAAATCTTAGCTAAGCTACGACACGTTCGTGATTAATTGCTTTTTTTGTTATGCATTGTTTTAATTAGGCACAGAGGTGAAAATATGCGATTTTGACTAACATTTTTGATCGGCCTCGTACATGCATATTTTTTCTCCACTTGGTATGAAAAGCATGCCATTCAATACTAGCGAAAAGCCTGATCTTTCCGAATATGAAAACCAATTGTTCATACGCCGAGTGATTCATGTATAACAGCGCGCTGAAATTCGATTACCTTTTTTTTTATACACCCTGTATACTAACCAGATTGTTGTTTCGAATTGTCAATAACTCGAAGTCCCATAGCTCCCTTAATATAATTTGTCGTTGGTACGGAAAAATTCCGAAGTATAACGCCAGAGCGTAAATTTACATCATATATAGCGTTATTCAGCCAGTCCGTAAAATATATGGAATCCCCAGCAATGTCCAAGTCAAACCCATGAAACTTCGACAAAGCAAGAGAGGTGTCCTGAAAGATTAGTCTCCTTTTGTTACCACTGTAATCTACAGAGCTGATGGTATCATGGTAGGCGTCAATCCAGTAAACTAGCTCTTGATTGGTATCAAGGGTAACTCCATTCGGCCATGTGATGTTATCTTTGACCAATGGTACACGGTTAGTACCATCTAAGGAGCATCGTTCGATAGCTGCTGCAGCACCCCAGTCTGACCAGAAGAGATAGCTGGCAATAAAATACATGTACTAAGTTGTACTGCATTGTACAGAAATTAACCAATTAAGTCCCAAGACTCTCCTGGCCCATTATCAATCCGGCACTAGGCAGTTTACAGTGTGTATAAAAAAAACTGAACCCTTTCAAATTCAAATTAGCTATAACGTATTGTCGTAATTTGACAGCTCTAATTGCTTTAAATTAATGGTTGGGTAAGAACACAAGGTCTTGTACTCATGGGACGAAACTCAAAGAAATAAAATTAGAAAATTTAAAAGTTTTTAAGAGTTTTGTCCCACGAGTACAAGACCTTGTGTTCTTACCCAAATTCAAAGCAATTAGAGCTGTCAAATTACCACAATACGTTATAGCTAATTTGAATTTGAAAGGGTTCAGTTTTTTTTATACACCCTGTAGAATAATAAAGTAGAGCAAATTTGGGTACATTATAGCTTAATAGTTTAATAAGACACATTGGCAGATAGTTGGATAAACCCAATGGGTTTCAAGACTCTGCCTTTGTTGAGTAAAATAATAACGTACGACGCATTTGGGTGTACTGCAGCTTTTAAAATGGTTTAAGAAACAAGACACAATGCGTGGCAGATAGTTTGGTTGACCCAATAATGCACAAGACTCTCCTTTATTTAACGAGTAAAATCGTCCAGTGTTGGACCAAAAACTTTCCCAAGGGGACGGGTGCGTCACTTATCAGGAGAGGTGCAAGAAATTCTCAGGGGAGGTGCAAAACGATCTCAGGGGAGTGGCGCACCTCCCCACACCTCCCCTCAAAATCCGGCCATGGTTGAAATTAGCTGGTCGCAATTCCAATTTGAGAAAAAAAGAATACTATTTGCGAATCGAAAACTTATTAGAGAGGCGAAGGAGGGGCTTATTAGAGGTAGCAATCCGTTGAGGGGAGCTTGATAGACTAAACTACAGCAAACAACATACCCGGCAATAGGATCGACTGCCATGCCTCGGGGGTACTCCAGACCTGCGAAAACCAAAACCTTTCTGTACTTCCCATCAAGCGTCGCGACTTCAATCGTCTTGGATTCATAAGCCGTCCAGTACAACTTACGACCGATCCAATCAATAGTCACTCCTTCCACATTTTTGACGTCTTCCATGATTAGTGTTTTGCTGGAACCATCATAATTTGAGCGATATATACGCCCAAGGGTGTGCTCCCCAAAGTAGATGTGGTTAAACACTGTATCCACTCCTAGGGGGATGACTCGGTCCAGGCCTCCCAACACGTTAGACCGCGCCATGGTGTTCAAGTCCAAAGCAAGGATGTTGGTAATGTTTGAGTATATGATGAACGGCTCTGCGGGTAACGCATCTAGGGATAAAAAAGCATAAGGGATTAATATAAAAAGGTTAAGTTCACAACTAACTTTATTTATATTGGATAATTCTGTCAACTTCTAAACTGTTCTTCCTAGAAGTCCAGTAAAGTTCACAACTTAATTGTTCGTTCAGTACGATATGTAGTATTGCTGTGGCAGGAAATCTAAACTATGTCTATAAACTAACTTTTTTATAAAGAATAGCTCTATCAGGTCGAAATTGTTCATCCTAGATAGAGTTCAAGCGAGGTTGGTACTTTAATTGTTTGTTCAGTATTATACTGCAGCAAGAACATTAATATACTGGTTAGTTCTTTCATAGATAATAAAATTCATGGATAGGACTCTCGCTGACGTAAGCAAAAACAACCTAGTTGCAATCTGTGACGTCACGCGTATTGCAAAGTTCTCTGCATTTTTGTTGTTTCGCTATATTTTCCGCCTTAAAAGAGTAATATTGAAGCACAAACCGGTCTAATTGTTTTAAAAACATGCCTAAGCCACGACAAAGTATTCAAGGTAAATGTTTTTCGTCTTTGTTTTGTATTTTTTTACATATTTGTAGCTACGAAATGGCGTCCCCAATTTTAACGAAATTTGGGATGCCTTTTTCACTGTTTAGTGCTTGAAATATTTGCTAAAATTGACTGGAAATACTTAGAGATTTCATCGTAGAATGGCGTAGTTATATTCATTTGCTTTTTGACTAAAATGTTTAGCTGTATTATTGCTAAACATGCCGTTTTTGAGAATTTGGTTTGCAACTAGGTTTCAACATCCTATCACGCCATCAGCCCATTGAAAACATTAGGTCACGTCAGCTAGTTTCCCCTCCATTTATTTTATTATCCATGGTTCTATCTAAACTACTCGAGTATAGGTGTTTCTGTCAACAGAAGTTCGAATATTCCATCTACAAAAATCATCTGCTATTAGTTCGATCGAACGAGATACCCAAAATCGCGCAATCTATACCACTTTTCTAGACTAATAAACAGGACCGGAGATATGGGGGGGGGGGGTAACACCCCACCAGAAATTGTATTCAGTCGGCAGGACTGCTATTCAGTCGGTAGGACTGCTATTTGGGTTAAATATTTTTGCGCAAAGGGCAAGCGGATAGAGGTTGTTGGTCTCCGAAAAAAATTTTCTTGCCCGGGCTACCGTCAACCTCTCGGCGGCCCTGTTCGTCAGTCGGTTGCAGGGCAGTAGAAAAAATGAGTTATATTTACAAAATTTTCCGGCGAATATTCTAGAAATTTTCGGAATTTTAGAAAAATTGTTTTGCTAAATGGAGAAGAGTTCCGAAAAATTTTGATATGTCCGGAAAAATTTTTGAACCCCTAAAATGGTACACCGACCGAAATTTTTTGGCGACGGGGGGGAAGGTCGCCAAAAATAATTTGTACTGGTCGGTTGAAATGTCAGGTACTGGTCGGTTGAAATGACCTTACACCCCCCTAAAGAATTCCCTGAGGACGGCCCTGCTAATAAAGGTCCAATTTACTCTTTATCTTTATCAGGAGTTAACTAATGAAACAAACTTTATAAACCAAGAGGACCTGCTTGCTGCATAACTTTCTGTATGCAAGTTGGTGAAAGGAATTAACAATATAGTTTCAATTATTTCGTTGTTTTCGAACCTTTGACGAGATCGCCATGGCCTTTCAAAAAAAATTACTTGCTTTATAATCTGATAGATTTTGTTCATTTCGATATATTAAATGAAACTAAAATATCTCGGGAACGACAAGAAATAAGTTAGAAAAGTCAGTACAGTGACTTATTTACAGTTTTGCATGTTCATTCTGCCTAAAATGCAGACTTAAATATTGTTGCCATTACAGCAAACTCTCCTCATTTCGCGGCCATGCCCATAGGGCTTAGGAAATTTCACACAAGACAGAACTTCGTATACCATAGGATCAGACAGTCACGATCAGATAATTACGCTGATTAGAAGTGGCTAAAATAGTTTTAAAGTACATAGAAATATTTCCATTAGCCGTCATTTGAAGATAAAATATAAAAAGATAGTCGCTATATGACGCATTTTGTGGTTTTTTTTCTTTTAACCGATTGTATTTTGCTCTTCAAAAATATTTTGTTATCTTGATTCCATTATAATAAACCATAATGAGACCCCTAACCTGGCAGGTAATTTGCATGGTAAAAATAAATATAATTGTTTTGTTTTGTTTTGTCGATACGTTTATTTCGTTGCCTCATCTTTGGAGAACTGTTTTTGATCCAAGCCCGGTCGTCATTGGTGCTATAATAATTAATATAGCGTGATGTTTCCGCACATTATGTTTTCACAAATACCCGCAAACAAATGCAATCAAACAAGAAACTAATAATTAACATGTTTATAAATATGGATGGAGCGCGCTCAGGTAAAGGTATGCCTAATAATACGAGACGTTCACTGACCAAAATTATTTATTTAGACGAGCTTTCGACCGCCAGACTGTGATCTTCGACAAGTACAAGACTGATGAAATAGGAAGCTTATACACTATACATATATTATACATTACGTTATGCATGGATTAGGAATTTGAATTATGAATGTTATATATATACATATATATATATATATATACATATATATATATATATATATATATATATATATATATATATATATATATATATATATATATATATATATATATATATATATATATATATATTTAGTGGAGGCATGCATGCATGTTTCCTTGTTAATTTGAATGTATTGTTTCATGGCTTTAAATTATCAGTTGTTTCCGTGTGCCTTGATTTCAGTGTTTTCCTTAGTTTCCATGATCAGCATGCGAAAAATGGGATGCTTTGATGCTTTAAATTGATGCTTTAAAGGATGCTTTAATTTTGGTCAGTGAACGTCTCGCATTAACACCTATACATACTGTAATTATGTATTCAAATCGGTCGGTATAATCTGAGACTGCAGACCGCAGACTGCAGACTGCAGACCAAGTACAAAATGCAGAATAGGTATAAATTGAAGACTGAAATTGCAGACCTCCATTGCAGACTTGTTATAAAATGCAGACTGTGAAAAAAAACCTATAAAACTACACATTATGCCCGTTTTCAAAATTATGCGCCTTACCAAAATATAATCTAAGATTCAAATGTCAGTTTTATGTCACGAGAGTTGTGGGAACTGCTAAATATAGTATAAATGCATGTAAGCAAAATTAAGACACTGTAAACCGTGTTTAATACCTAAAGAGTAAAGAAGAATATTGAACTATTAAAAAATGAGCTAGATACACAAACTAAACTAGAAAGTATAGAAACAACAAACTATCACAGAAATAAATTTGTGTAGTGAATGAATTTTAAGTTTGAGAAAGAACAATTTATCCTTGAATTCGAATGACAAATGTGTATTAAACCCGCTTACGCCTGATTATAGCAGTAATATTATGATTTTGTCAGTGTGCTTAAATTTTGCAATAATTTGCACTAACTATCTTAAAAATCATTCTAAACCTTTTTTCCTTTTTATATAAAGCATATACAAAGCTTATACACTAACATTCATTGACAATGAACCACAAAACTCGAAGTTGTTTTAAATAATTTGAACTTCATGACAGTATATGACATATTAAAATATATGTTTTTTCACAGTCTGCATTTTATACCAAGTCTGTAATTTCAGTCTGCAATTTATACCTATTCTGCATTTCGTACTTGGTCTGCAGTCTGCAGATTATACTGACCGTAATTCAAATTTATTGTTACACGAAATCGGCGAATGTTCACGAAATTAAAGTGCTACAATCTACTTGAAATAGTTGAGTGTGTTTGTGTGACAATAGCAAGTGCCTTTTGTGTGGACTACCCGACTAAACATATATGAGAACATGCATTCTATACAACAAATATAGCCATGCGCCAGTTCATATAAATTTAGGCTCCGTTTACACTATACTGGATTGCTATCGGAGTGAGTCAAATTTTGTAGGCATCGAAAGGCTGTGAAGATTTTTAATCTCAGAGACCCAAATAAACATGCCAATTCTGTCAAACTAATAAGCATTTGCTACTAACCATTGCTCCGTAACGGCTAAAGAAGACGTCGTGACCAGCGAATCCGGTATAGTGTAAACAGGCCCTTAGACTTAGTAGTCTAAATTTCGTTGAATTTTGCAGCTTTTGTACTGTTGTAACTTTCTGTACGCAAGTTAGTTAAAGATAAATCATGCAACAATTTATAGTTTCCATTATTTCATAATTTTTTAACCTTTTAACGAGACTGTCATGACCTTTGAAAAACGTCCCGGCTCACTTGTAATGTTATATAGATTTATTTCAAATGAAAGATACGAGAACCTCTGGCAACCAGGGTAAAGTAGGCCTATCTTGAGAACGACAAGAAAAAAAAAGTTAGAAAAATTGTACAGTAACTTATTTACAGTTAATTTTCACATGTTCATTCTGCCTATAAAATGCAGACTTATAAATTGTGTTGCCATTGGAGTAAACTCTTCCGTATACATGTTTTCATGGCCATACCCATGAGCAAATTTCACAGAAGACAGAACTTCGTATAAACATTCCGATGATTAGATAATTACGCTGAAGCTAAAAATATTTTTAAAGTACCGACAAATATTTCCATTAGCCGTAATTTGAAGATAAAATATAAAAAGATAGTCGCTATGACGCATTTTGTGGGTTTTTTTTTCTTTTAATAATTGTACTTTGCTTTTCACTGATATTTGGTTATCTTGATTCCATTGTAATAAACCACAATGAGATCCCTGACCTTACCATAGATATCTTATGTACAATAGATAGCGCATCTCTGTCAGTAAAATTGAAGCCAAGAATATTCCAGCGCGGTTACCCTCATTTGAATAGATGGCGGCCATATTGTAGTTAATTCCCACTCGCCATAATAAACGCTTAAAAAACAACAATAACTTTCATGATTTGAATAGTTTGAAAATGTATTTGGAATAGGTTTAACTTAATGTTTAAGTTCCCTGTTTAAGAAATAGAAAACATACGAGTCTTCTCATTTCATGGGAATATCCTGAGTCTGCAATCACGGCTTCAATTTTTGAATTGCAGAATAATTAGATGCACTCTCTATATCTATGGACCTTACAGGTTTGCATGGTGAAAATAAATATAATTGTTTTGTTCTGTCGATAAGTTTATTTCGTTGCCTCATCTTTGGTGAAGCTTTCGATCCAAGTTCATGGTCGCCATCATAATTGGTGTTATAATAATTATAGTGTGATGTTTCCGCACGTACGTGTTATGTTTTCACCGAAGCTAGTACCAAACAATTATATTTCTGGCATGCAATCAAACAAGAAACTAATAATTAACATGTAAATATGGATGAAGTGTGGTCAAGTATAGGCATGCATAATAACACGAAACGTTCACTGACCACAATTATTTACTAATTTAGGCATATAAATATAGCAATTGGCGGGTGACAATGTTTCCTTGTTAATTTGGTGTATTGTTTCCGTATATGGTTTGAATTACTTCCGCGTTTTTAGTTATTTCCGTGTGTAGGATTCCAGTATTTTCCTTAGTTTCCATGATTCTGCGAAAAATAGGATGCTTTTGATGCTTTAAATTGATGTTTTAAATGATGCTTTAATTTTGGTCAGTGAACGTCTCGCGATAATTAACACCTATACTATACATAATTATGTATGCAAATTTATTGCTACACGAATTCGAATGTTCACGAAATTAAAGTGCTACAATCTACTTGAAATAGTTTAGTGTATTTGTGCGACAAGTGCCTTTTATGTGTGTCTTTCTGTACCTCTGACTTATAAGAGAGTTCTGTGAGGGTTCTTGACTCAACTAAATACACTTGACCTCCAAAGAAAACAGTTCAAGAATCAGGACTGATAGAGATATCCAGTATAATGAAGTTAATCTAGTTGAGGTCTCCTTATACACTGGACCTCGACGAAGAACTGTTTAATCACCGACCAACGGAGGCGAAATTCGAAAACAAAATGATATCATGAATGTTGACAATGAAGAATTAAGTAGATTTTGCAAGAACAACAGCGACAATCCGTAACATTTTTTTATAATTATACTTTCTGTCTGTCGCCGTAGTGCATGTCGCTTATAGAATTTTCAAAATTAGTCAAGACAGCTCTTACCAACCAAATTTGGTAGATACACGGCAAAACACTTTCTAAGAAACTGCCTATTTTTAATGTTTAGCTGATATGCCTAAAAAATGATTTCAAACCGGAACATCTAGAACAACCAACACTTCAAAATTGAAAGTTAGATGAACCATGTCCATGTAGAAGGGGTTCAAGTGAGCTTATTGTCAGACAACACAATAGACAGATTTAGAAAAGACGACGCGACCTCAAAGACGACGTGAAAATGGCGTGTTCTGTCCATATATGGATGTACCACGCCACTTTGACGCCATTTTCACGTCGTCTTTGAGGTCGCGTCGTCTTTTCTAAATCTGTCTAATGTCAATGTCAATGACGACGTCGTAATTAAATAGAAACACTCACAAAATGACGTACGCTTGATTCATACGAGCGAGATAAGCACAAACTGGAATACAAAAAAAAATTTTACCTCTGAGATTTGCGAACACAAAGGTGGACAGAAGTTTCTTTTGAAATTTCTTTTATTACCCTTAGCTTATGCTTCTAGAGGCTTGGCTGACCAACAGAGGCGAAATTCGAAAACAAAATGATATCATGAATGTTGATTGTTGACAATGAAGAATTAAGTATAGATTTTGCAAGAACAACAGTGGAGGAGAAACGACAAATACAAGATCTAAATAAATACCCACTATAGAGTATAAATAGATCGAGGTTAGTCAAGGTTTCCTGCTGTAGTTGCAATGGACCACTATTGCATGTATAGACATATATGAGAACATGCATTCTACAACAATTAAATAAAGCTATCGGCTATCTAGTTTACAGTATAAATTTAGTTTCAATTTCGTTAAATTTTGCAGCTTTTGTGCTGCAGTGGTTGCGCACGATTAAGGCTCAGAAATAGTGTTTCTAAAAAATGTTATAGTAGCCTAAGACCAAACATTGTTGATTTTAATATACGAAGATATGACTTAATTAAACACAAAACATTGATATTCGTTTTCAAGCTTTAAAATGACATACATGCACGCCGTGTAACATGCTCGTACAGATAGGATCTAATAGAAACATTTCTGGGAAAATGGCTCGTTGCAGTATTCACAGGGGGGGGGGGAGACTTGAAATGTTTTTTCAGGCACGTCTTTCACCACCTCACTAAACCTTTTCCTACCAGCTCACTAGACCTTTCCCTTTCAGTTCATACCTGTATAACTGCTCAGCACTACCAATACGGAGACCAGCAAATACACCATCTTTCGGCAGGCACTTATATTCTCAATTTCGTACCACGTCAAATTTCAAGAATCTACAATATAAGCGTAGTATTGTATTATATAGAAAACTTGATACACCGTATCTCAGTATACAGCACCACTTTTCAGTGAGTTGAAACTGCTTGGTATTTATATAACATAAATTTCTTTCATGTCACTAAAATTCATGTTTTCATTTCATGATCGTCTACTTCCGCCTTGTTCCACAACATATTTGTTGCTTATCAACAAACGGATAAATACAATACCAGAAATGCCAGTTTGTATCGTCCTCATGCATTCAAAACTAGACTATCCTCTGACAAATTTTGAACTCTTTAATGCACTAATATTATGAAGAACCATTCGATATATACAAACTTCTTGTATGGTAACTGAATGCCTCCTCATACCTCGCCTCCGTATTCACTTGTCTTGCCGATGAAAAAGAAATAAAGGTAAATCTGTTTGGATTTAGTCAACGATTTTCTACTAAAAGGACAATAATGAGAAGGTATGCTGTTTCAAAATGTTCCATTTTCTAGTCGTTTCACGATAATATGCTTGGAAAATTATGTTTTAAACACAGACTTTGACTTTCTTGTTTACAATTATATTTATTATTGAAAATTGGATGACACAAATGTTTAGAGAATCATATCTTTTCACTGCAGTTAAACCCTTTTTAGAATTGCATGTTTGAGAGGAAAACATTAAATTTCTATCGAAATATTAGATAGCTTAAGATCTGCGACGTCGAAGTCAGCTAGGACGTCAGGGCTAAGCACAGGACTGGGTCTAGGACGTCGTCCTAAACAAGTCGATAGCTCAATATCTCAGGACATCAAATATTTAGGGCGGCAAGCGGAAGTAAATTGGTAATAGTTTTTGAAGTGTGCATGTGTCTCTCTCAATTTGCTCGTCGTGCACCAAACGTCGACAACCTCACAACAAGAGTCGTAAATACAAGAGCATAACAAACGGTAATAGTTCGCGTGTCTCTTTTAAATTCATTTTCAAAAGGATGTAAATATTTATAGTTCAATCCACGTCGTGAATCTTAAGTGGAGGTTTATTATTTAGGACGACGTCCTAGTCCCAGTCCTCTGCTTAGCCCTAACGTCCTAGATGACGTCGACGTCGTAGATCTTAAGCTATCTATTGTCATTTCTGCATGGTGTTGACATTGTGCTTAGTAGGTTTTTCGATTTCCGGGTAACTTCTTTCCTCCTGCAGGCTGCAGTAACAGCTAGTGGTCTAATAGACGGAAAAGCTCTTACCTCATATTGGGAGGACAGTTGAGAACTGATAGAAATATCCAGTATAAATAAATTTAGTTTAAAATGGTCATTATGCCAACACACTTAAAACCCATGGCCGGATCCGGGCGATCGAGCTAAATTGATTATTTTAAATTCACATTATTCAGCAAAAATATGAATGCTCTAACATCGGAACTAGTTTGATATTAAACGCTGATTTACAGTATAAACTGAAGTTTTACCAGTCGCTGCCGCGAACAATTAATTCTCATGGCGCAGTGGAATAACAATTCATGTGTCGAATTTAACTGTTTTCACGTTTTGTTGTGATTCGGCACTATCTAGTTCACATGCAACAATGGTCAATGTACCGCCAGAGGATTGCCCACAAGGTTTTTCCAATTACTGCGACCCCACATGCAGACAGCAATAAAGATGTTGTAAATGAAAATTCCGAGTGTGCGTTTTGTACATTTTTATCAAGACCTAACCAGGAGTAGCTGCCAAAAGTCCCTCTAGCAGAAATCGAACCTGCGCGACCTTGCGATTCCGGTGCAGCGCTCTAACCAACTGAGATACAGAGTTCAGTAAATTGTCGAGCAGTAACTACAATGAAATTAATGTATATATATATATATAAATATATATATATATATATATATATATATATATATATATATATATATATATATATATATATATATATATATATATATATATATATATATATATATATATATATATATATATATATATATATACATTACTAAGGCGATGCCATGCATGCATATACATTTGAACCGATAACAACAGCTTAAAGCACCTTTAACGACCAAGCCCTTTTACATTTAGCACAAACGGACTTCCAAGAGCGCGGATCGTATTAAATGGGACGCTGATCAGTGATTCAAATACACCTGCAGAGACTAGTGAATGAAAAGTTGGGTTATTTTCTTATTCTGCAAGTAATCGACATCTGCTACATGATACCGCTTCGAGAAACGCACCCTGTAAATCACCCTTGATTATCGACACTCAAATCAACAAACCTATAAGCTCACCTGTTGTTTGAAACCAACAAAATCCTGTTGGAAAATCTCTAACAACGCAATTCAGACCGGGATGCAGTCTCTGTTCTGGCATCCAGCTGTCGTGACTGCTGAATAAAATGAAAAGGTATCATTATTTGTGCAAATATAGCTAAAATGTGCAATAGCCTGTGACCACCGCCCATAACTATCCACCTATTGAATCCTGATCGACTCTTGACTATTTCAAAATCTGAATTAAATAGCTATGTCAACTTGTATTACCATTCTATTGCTTTCTAAACTACCAAACCTTTGCTTCAGGGCTTAAAACCTGTTTAAATACTTTGGGGAAAATATAATGCAAGAGAAAAATCCGTGACATTTTTTTATAATTACATTCGGTCTGTCGCCGTAGTGTCGCTTTATAGAAAGTAAGTTAAGACAGCTCTTACCAACTAAATTTGGTAGTTACACGACAAAACACTGTCTATGAAACTGCCTAATTTTAATGTTTAGCTGATATGCCTAAAAATGGAAGTTTCGATTTCAGATCGGAACAGAACAACAAGCACTTCAAACTTTAAAGTTATAGATGAACCATGTCCATTAGAAGGGGTTCATTGGGTTCAAGTGAGCTTATTGTCAGACAACACAATGACGACGTCGTAATTAAATTGAAACACTCACAAAATGACTTCAGCTTGGTTCATACGAGCGAGATAAACACAAACTGGAATACAAAAAAAATTTACCTCCGAGATTTGCAAACACAAGGTGGACAGAAGTTTCTTTTGAAAGTTTCTTTTTTGCTTAGAAGCTTGTGCTTTAAGCTTGCGCTTATGTCGAACTGCATTTCCTTGTTTTGGCTTTTGTCTTTATTTTCCCGTGTGAACCAGGCTATATACATTGCACGCACAGATACACGTCCTTTGTGGTAGTTCTCACTAGTCTAAACATCAAACTGTTGGTTCTCAGTAGGCAGTGGTCTTGAAGTACACGTTCTTTGTGGTAGTTCTCACTAGTCTAAACATCAAACTGTTGGTTCTCAGTGTAAGCAGTGGTCTTGAAGTACACGTCCTTTATGGTAGATTTTCAATATCCCAAATTTCAAACTGTTGCTTCTCAGTGTAAGCAGTGGTCTTGAAGTACACGTCCTTTATGGTAGATTTTCAATATCCCAAATTTCAAACTGTTGCAGGCAGGGAGGACCAGGGGGCTATACCCCCCCCCCCCCCCGTAAGAGATTCTAGGGTAACATAAATGCAACCTGCATAAAATGAAAAAAAAACATTAATGTAAGAATTCAGTTCATCGACTGCGAAAGAAGTGTTGAAAAAATGAGAAAAAATATCGGGCACAGTAAAATATTTTCTGGTACTCCATTTCACAGTGACAAAAAATGTTACTTTCAACAAAGGCCGCGGAAGCATCTGAAAAGTAGGGGAAGGCGTGCAGTGATAGGAGAGACAAAACGTGCACTCCAGGGGCGTACCGGAAGGAAAAAATTAGGGGGGGCGGAAAGAAATTTGCCCGACTTTTTCGGATTGTGCCCGACCAGTGCCGAAAATTTTTTTTCCGGAACAATTAATTTTGGCGACCTCTACTTCCCCCCCCCCCCGTCGCCAAAAAAATTTCGGTCAGTGTACCATTTTAGGGGTCCAAAAATTTTTCGGACATACCAAAATGTTTTGGAACATCAAACAAATTTTCCAAACATCACAAAATTGTCATAATTTCCCGCAAAATTGACAGAATTTGTCCCATTTATTTTTATAATAACCCAATATTGCCCGACTGAAGCGAATATTGCCCAACTGGCTTTGTTTGCCCAACAAACTGGGGTTATTATTAAGAGAGATTTTATTGAATACTTTTTTGGCTTTTTAATTTCCCCCAGTCTTCGCCCGACTTATGTTGAACATTTGCCCGACTTTTCGACTTTGTAATCTTTTGGGGGGCAGCTGCCCCCCTCCCTGCCCTCCCGTCCCGTACGCTTATGATCTTACCATGGTTCGTCGACCTCGCATAACTAGAGGGTCCGGGGGAATGGTCCCCCGCGAAAATTTTGAATTTTGAACCTCGGAAATGCCATTTCTTGCATACTGCGCGTCGGATTTCTTCCTAAATTTGTCCTTAACGAACCCGTATTTCAGATAAAAAGTAACGAATTGGGAGAAACACAAAAAATAAATGGTGAGCGCGTGTCAAAATCAAAATAAATTAACTGTAACTTTTATGATCGATCACCGATCTTACGCTTCCTAAAACTAGCAATCTTTATCTAACATCTTTATCTAAAATATAGAGCACATTTTATAATCTTAAACAGGCACTTCCGTTTGAAAAAAGGGCACATTTCTCTGCTTTCAGAACCGTGTGGGGGCACTCCCCTAGTGCATAAAATGTTCGTCGAATTTGCATAGATTGCAGAAAATCCCATTTCCGAGGTTTTAAATTTCAAAATTTTTCGGAGCAGGATGCCCCTGCAGCTCCTACAAATGCGTTTCAAAAGCATCAGTTCAGATCTCCATCTACAGGAAGACCCTAGGACGGGGGGTTGAGCATCAGTCAGAAATTCTGCGGGTCCGCCCTGGAATTGTGACAGTTGTAAAATCAAATCAAACCAATTTATTTTGCCATAATACGTACAAAAATAATAATAATAGAAAAATAACAAATACTTTATATTAAGGCAAGGAAGTCCAAGAGAAAGCAAAAGGCTTATAAGTTTTGGGTACCTTTTACAGCATGATAAGACCAGAAAACATACGTGAAATTTTGTTGTCAATAACACTTATAATGGACATATAAACAGTTATACAAATATAAAATAGACAAATAACAACAAGTTTCGAACAATGTTAAAGAGTCATTAAAGACCTGGCTCCTTAATGCCTAATTTTTTACAACAAATACATAACTTTTTAAATTCTGTATTCAGACGCATATTATTCTTTCAATTTTATATCTATACTAAATATTGTAATTTATAAACTCATTACTTGTAAATTGTAACTTATAAACTTGTAATTAGACCTGAAAAGCTCTGAGGGGAGGTTCTAAATAAATTTGTATTGTATTGTATTGTATTGTATTGTATTGTATTGTATTGTATTGTATTGTATTGTATTGTATTGTATTGTGTTGTGTTGTGTTGTGTTGTGTTGTGTTGTGTTGTGTTGTGTTGTGTTGTGTTGTGTTGTGTTGTGTTGTGTTGTGTTGTGTTGTGTTGTGTTGTATTGTATTGTATTGTGTTGTGTTGTGTTGTGTTGTGTTGTGTTGTGTTGGGTTGTGTTGTGTTGTGTTGTGTTGTGCTGTGCTGTGCTGTGTTGTGTTGTGTTGTGTTGTGTTGTGCTGTGCTGTTTGTGTTGTGTTGTTGGAAATATGTAGGTGATCTTACTGCTTCGGAGGTTATAGTTGTGTTGTGTTGTGTTGTGTTGTGTTGTGTTGTGCTGTGCTGTGCTGTGTTGTGTTGTGTTGTGTTGTTGGAAATATGTAGGTGATCTTACTGCTTCGGAGGTTATAGCCAAATACGGCAACTCAATAACCCAATCAGATCTTGATTATATATCTTCTTGGTCGTCAACCTCGTCCCCAGGGCCATCCGCGCGAGATTTGGGAGGCACGAGATGGTGGTGTTAATTACATGAAGTTAAACGCGAAGAAATGTAAAGAGCTAAGGGTTTGTTTCTTCTGTGATACGCCTGTTTTGGAACCATTAACTATTGACGGAATACGGAATACCAATAGATGTTGTTGACTGCCATAAGGTTCTTGGTACTGTATTAAATAGCTCGCTGAAATGGACGGATCATGTTAATATGATTACATTAAAGAAGCCACCAAAGCGTCTTTACATTACACGTACCTTAAAGAGAAGTGGTATGACCGCCGATGATTTGTTAAGAATTTATATTGCACTTATTCGTTCGGTTTTGGAGTACTGTCGCCCAGTTCAGATGGCACACTAACCTGCCATCCTATCTCAGCGAACAAATTGAACGTTCACAGAAGAGAGTTTTCGGAGAATAATTTTCTCAAGTTTATTATACAGAGAGGCACTGTCTGCTGCGGTTTCTGTACGGCTGGATGATAACAGACAACGTTTGTGCCTTAATCTCTTCCAAAAGATCAATTCAAACGGCGATAATAAATTTAATCCGCTCATACCGAATTCTAGGCTCAGCGAAAATGGTCGGCCACTTCGTAACTCTGTTAGTTTTTCAATTTTTAAATGTAGTACGACCGTACCGATTTAAGCGTAGTTTTTTCCCGGCGCTAACTCATTATTCTAACAATATCTAGTCAAGTATAATTATAACTTGTCTTAATATTTAATGTATGTATAGGACAAATAGTATATATACAAATAGTCAATATTCTAACAATATCTAGTCAATTCTATAATAGTTTATAACTTGTCTTAATATTTAATGTAGGTAGGACAATCGGGGATAAACCTTTAAATAATAATAATTTTAACATGCAGTTCTACACAAAATATGCATACGAAAATGTCAGCAAGTGAATGTCATTTTAACTAAATGTTTTTGTAACCGAGGAATTGACCCGGGATTTAACAGCATATAAAAGAGATCAAGCCAAAAATTGAGATTTTAGAATAATTATTACTAGAAGTTACTATCGCAAGGAAAGTGCTGCCTCACCTCCCTGGGACTGCGATTCTTGCGATAACGATGTCTGTGTTCCGCGCCTATTGCAATGATTACGATTTAATAGAAACCAGGCGTTTTTAAGGGAGTGTCTATACCCTGAAATGTAGTGACACAGCCAGATGAATATATAAATGTTGGCCGGTAGGATTATTTCATATCATGCTAACAATGCATGGACATATAACAATGGATATATTTTTACAGAACGTCGTACCTTGTACAAAAACAACCGGTTGACATGTTATTACATGCATCTTGCTGGAAATGGTTTCTATCTGAGCTGAGGAAAAACTACTGCGAGCAAATGAACGATCGTTTGATGTAGCCGTCGTCCAGATTTACGGACGAACCATTAAATGAGAAGCTGGTAAAACAAGTTTGACAAGTTTTTGTTATCGTGCGCATGGGTAAATGCTTGGCACTGCTGGTAAAATGCGAGGCAGTTGTACACTGAAAACAACATCAAGTTCTAAATATAGTAACACGCTTAAATATAATACCTTGTCCTTGTACACAGGAAGCCCAAGCGTTGATCTGTGTTTTAATTGAATTATTTCACTACATTACACTAATATGTCATATAATAATAATAATACTCCTATAGTCGAACATATAATAACAACATATAAGTTGATTTGTATTTGTATGTTTATTTAAGATCTACTATTAGCCTATATAAAAGCACCGCCTTTCGAACCTGACAGCCCGTCCGCAGGTTACGCGCGTGGGGACGCGCGGGATTTAAAATAGGAGGCGGCAACATATTCTTATTTCGGTGTGAAATAACGCGTGCATCCTGCGAACGGGCTGTCAGGTTCGAAAGGCGGTGCTTTTATATAAGCTAATAATAGATCTTAATAAATAAACTGAAAACATACAAGCCATACAAATACAAATCAACTTTATGTTGTTATTATATGTTCGCCTGTAGGAGTATTATTATTATTATATGACATATTAGTGCAATGTAGTGAAATAATTCAATTAAAACACAGATCAACGCTTGGGCTCCCTGTGCCTTGTACAAAAAGTGTACAAATCGGAATAGAATGTGAGAAATTAATAAATTATACATCAAGATGACTTGAAAACCGCATAGAGTTCAAAAGAATAACAATAAATTCTACACTGCAACAAAAATCCACCTTTTAGAAAAAATCAAATATGTTTTGTAGCGGTCGAGGTCGCAAAAAAATGCAATAATTGTCAAAATCCACAATAATAAACATATTATTTGGAAACGTTCAAAATTGGAATTTACTCTAACCTTTTTGTAGACCAAAATTGGAATTTACTCTTACTTTATTTTGTAGACCAAATAAAAAAAATGAGTTGATCGGATAAACACAAATATTGAAATGCCAGAAATTCAAATGCCAAATATGTAGCATGAGAGACCGATTTTCAAAATACTTTAGTATTGGCAACAACGATATTTGTAGAACGGATACATAAATTGTGAACTGCATGTAGAATAAAAAGTCGCTTGATTAAAACTGACAGACAACAAACAAAACAGTACTATGTCAAGCTTGTTTACATCTAAGGGGCGGGCCATTTGATTTTTGAGGGGGGTTGGAAAATTCAAACTGTGCAAGAATTTTTTTCCGCCCAGGGGAACAAGACAGCTATTTTTTCCTGTAAAAGTGCAGTTCAAGATATTTTTTCCCAACATATCTGGCGACAGGATATTTTTTTTGCCTGTCAGAATAATGGCTTGCAGTAACTTAAGGCTTTCATATAGCTATCGTCAGAGACGTAGCCGGGGTTTTCAGTCAGAGGAGGCCGAGAACTAAATCCCAAGAGGGGCCAAGGAATTTTCACTGTGCTTTATTTTATATGGTTATTCCTTTATAATGTTCTTCACACTAAAAACGTGCAGGTTTACTTACAAATAATGTATAACTGCACCAAAACCTAAAACATGCAGGGATAGAGTGGAGTACTCGAAAATGGGGGAGGTACAGTATTTGAATGACCTGTAACCTTGAGGGGGTTCGAGGGCATGCTCCCCCGAGAAAATGTTAAAATTTGAACCTCGTAAATGCTATTTCCTGCGTTTTCAGCCATGGATTCTTGCAACAACTTTGCTGTACGAAGTCTAAGGAAAATCACAAAATGAGCTTTGATTAATATGTAATAAAACAAGATTTCAATAATGCGATTCTTAACTGCCCTCCGAAACAGTAAATGTTCCACAAAATATAGCTCTGTAGCTTTTCAATCGTTCATACCGATAGCTTGTTGGGGATTGGGATGCATCCTCTTCAGCAATTTTTTAAAATCTAGACTCTCGATCTAAACTGGCATTTTCGCATTAAAATCATCGTATATACAGTACGTTCAACTTGCATCCTGTAGATGGGCCTTTGAAGCTTTAATAGTTTGGACCTACAGGTATGTTTCTTATCAAAATACACACACAGACTCAACCATTCAAAAATACGTTTTCTACCATGCATATTAGATATGTATAAATAAGTTACATAAACTTGTACATATCTTAAGCCCAGATTTTTTCGGGAGGGGGGCAACAATTTTGCCAGGGAACGCCACTGGCTATCGTATGTTATAGGCTCCAAAGGCAGTAGAATTCCTGTGATGTTGTTCACTGTTCACCCCAATGTTCTTTTAAGCAAGTGTGCCTGCTCAAAAATGCAAAATCTTCGCTAGAAAATCGTTCGTTTACTCGCAGTGGTTTCTCCTTAGCTCAGAAACCACTGCCAGCAGGGTATATTACATGTAACTGCTGGTAAATTAACATGTAGACAACAAACCACACTGGGTTGCTAGTATAGGAATATCTTTAAGTTTTATACATTAAGGCCATTTTCCATTGCAGTTGCTTTGCCCGCGCGGGCGGAGCGGGCTTTGAAAATCTGCTCACGCGGGCGTGACGGGCTTCAAAATCAATGAACGCTCCGCCCGCGCGGGCAAAGGGACTGCAATGGAAAATGGCCTTTAAGCCTGATTATTAAGACGTGCATACACAAACGTGCTGAAAGCACATTGCTATAAACATCTAGAATGAACAATATACAAACTCATCGCCTGTATGTGTATGTATGTATTTAATTTCTTTAGAGACGCTATCCTCATCAGCTATACAGCTGGTTTTCATGAGGGGCGTCTATTTAACTATTTACAAGTATATAAAAATGAAGAAAAAAACTAGTTAACCCACAGATCTAAAAAAAATATTACCCAGAACATAATGTGTAGTTACAAATGGAATAACAATTAAAAACCAGATTCAAATAAGTATTTTGAAACAATAAATCGAATGAGCAGACTTAGCCTCAGCAGAAAGACTATTCCACAGTAGAGCTCCACTATACCTAAAGCTTCTTTTAAGAATACCTAAAGCTTCTTTTAAGAAATGCTTTCTTAGGTTTTGGAAGTGAGAGATCTGTATCATAATTTCTGAGATGATAGTCATTATCATTATTGCTTCGTGCAGAAAAGAATTCTCGAAGACAGGGGGCAGTACCATTATTTAGAATGTTGTATATACCAGAACCACTTTATTAAATCTAAATCTGTTTTCAAGATTTTTCCAGTTAAGCCGTTCAAGGAGCTCAGGGGAGTTGGTATTATACAATTACTTTATGGTTTCCGTGTTTGGATGGCCTGATCCAAACACGCGGGAATGTTGCGAGAGTTAAGAAAAGCGAGCGAAACACGAGCCGAAGGCGAGTGATTTTGCCCGCTTTTCTTAACTCGAGCAACATTCCCAAGTGTTTGGATCAGTCCATCCAAACACGGAAACCATAAAGTAATTGTTTTATAAAATAACAACAACACGATAGTCTTCCGTGTTTGGATGGCCTGATCCAAACACGGCTTTCGACCAATCAGAATACGCGTTATATACATGTTATTTTATAACATAACTTACTCCCGTCAACACCCTTGCAGCTCTATTTTGGAATCTCTGTAGTTTTTCTTTTAGTACAATTCCACAATTATCCCACAAAGGGAGCAATAATCAAAGTATGGCAGAATTAACGCCTTATAGATGATGTGTAGGGTTTCATTGGGGGCGAATGGTTTTGTTCGTTTTAAAACTCCTATCCCTGCACCAACCTTTTTACGGATTGCATTAATGTGAACTTCTCAACTAAGGTGTTCATCCAACTCAACTCCTAAACATTTAAAAGGTCTGTACCGTTTAAATGGTTTATTCTTAAAGGTCACTAACTTATCTCCAAATTTATTTTTGATATTGTACCGCCTTGGGATGTCGCCACACAAACAAATATTACTAAAATTTGACTCCTTGTATAAATATATAATATCTGTGAATAAAACTGCTGATAAATTTATGAAATCATATTCAATAATCAATATTGTTTCAATACCTCTACTCTAGTGTATCGAACACTATAAAACAGCAAATCTAAATATAAATGCTTTCAAGTATATATCTCAACTCTCAACTATATTGCCAGCTAAGAAAGCTATCCTTACCGGAATTTATATCCAAAGGCAAAGTATTGTTGATCGTTTCTGAAATCCTGAGAAGAATCATGCGAGCACAATACAAAATAAAGTTTGACCGCCCCCCTTGTTTAAAAAACGTCCAGAATAATCATTTCCCCGTAATTGCGGACAGACACCCGGACACATTCGATCGAGATCTTGCCAATGTATATATGTCGCGCGAAAGACTGGGTCAAGCAAACGTGAAGAATAGGGAGCTGTCTAACGGCAGCAACTAGAAATACATGCATGCAGTAACCCCTCGCCAATAAATTAACATGAAGTATTTTGAAATGGTCAACACTGAACGCAGGCTCGCGCTCAAGTGTTGCCATGACAACATGATATTCTTAAATTTTAATTTTTTCATATATTTTGTACAGAAACTGGAAAATAGTTGAAAGATTCGTACTTTCAACTATACAAAATAAATTTCCGAAATATATACTGTAGGTATATTATTTGCATTTTGTGAGCTTTGATTTAATGTAAAATTTAACTTGAAACGCTTCGTAAAATGTTTTGAAATGTTCATTCAACTAAAGCCACTACAAGTTAATTCATCTTTAGTTTCTGGTCCGCCGCCCGCATCCTTTCTCCGTAAAGAATTATTTCAGGACTATTTTGTTGTTTACAATTAATTTCTAGTTCTTGAAAATTTTCGCGAAGGATTTAACTTATAGAACGATAAATATTCAATTTACACAAAAAAAGACCCAGCAAAATGTAGCATTGAATGGTAAAAACCGCTGCCTTATTGTCTATTGAGATTACGAGGTAAAAACTAGAAATATTAATAGATCAATTTAATATGTAAAATCTTTTGTAATCTGTCATACATGTCGATTTATAAATAATATAAATACAATTTTTGCAAAATTTCATAACATTTTGATACAATTAGCATGAAAGGGATAAGAAAGACCACAAAAATGTGGGCAAAGCCACAATTGTAATTATGTCCTATAGTCCTAACCACCCGCCCGCCCGCCCGCGTCGTAAACGAAGGTAATGACGGACCAGAAACTAAAGATTAACTTGTAGTGGCCTAAACTACATTTGCCGATAACTTGTTTTTACTTACTGTCGTTCCAATTGAAGTGTTCCTCAAATATTGATTCAATACATTACCTCGGGCTGACCAATTCATTTGATAGAAAATTGATCAACTTCCTGTTACTTTTAAATGAGCCAATTAGATTTCGTTACAGAACCGATTGACCAATAGGAAACGCACAGGAAGTAAAAAGAAATTTGAATTCGTATGAATTGATCAACTTGAGGAAATGAATTCATGCAATATTTTATCAACACTTCAATTGTAACGACACTAATAAAACATAAGTTTGGGTAATTTCAGATGAGTCTTCAAATCAATTTGTTCTCCTTTACATTTTAAGACTTTTTCTCAAATTAAACGGTAATTTATGAAACTTAGAGCTTCGTTGAAAAGGAAAACAGTTCACGTTTTTAGGCAAAAATTTAAAGCAACAAAATTCGTAAACATTAAATATTGAAAGCAAACTTGCCGTATATTTCACGATTTCCCATAGTAAATCAATTCTTCTCATTTCTTCAAACAAAATTGCTTCGAGCTTGTTGTGTATGAAACGATTTTCCAAATATATGTTGTAAACAATCAGCCATATTTTTAAGATCAGTGAGGATGACCACCCACTCAACATCGTTGGTCACGCCCGCGATCATTGATGAACTTTAGACTTCGCTAGTGCTTTCGTTTCCCGGGTGTAAATAGCCGGGGGAAATTAGTATACTCGCCCCGGGCTTACGCCCGGAACGACGCTCTGCGCCGTTGGCTTGGGGATAAAGCATTGTGTGTCAGAGAAAACATGGGCAGCTTAACGTTTCTTCGCTTATTAAACATTTTGCTCAATTGTTTTCAGATCTCAGTTTTTATTTTGCTCCTCAAAAAACTCACAGCAAGCTGAGGCAGACTTGGTGACTAATCTGTAGGTAGGGCCATGTAATTGATAGATTTAAACAGTATTTAAGCACTGACTTCGAATACCTGACGAAGACAGGTAACTCAAATGCAGCGCGCATGCATGCATGCATGATGTGGAATTTGTCCTGTATTTATAGTTCAGGTATACTCTAACCTACCAGTTTGGCTCAAGGGCGGGGGAATTAATATTTATAACACTAAATTCCCCGCTATACCCCGGGGGTGTGCGTGGTTGAATATGAGCATTTATGACAAAAATTGAAAAAAAAAATATTTCAGCTCTCGCGAAGTCCACGCGAAATACACGCGTGTTTTAACCTACAAGAGACCACTCTATTTGCCGCCACCTTGGCTTCGCCCAATCATAGGGCCGTTTACATGGAGTTATCATTCCAGTATTTATATAGTTCACTGGTATATTGATTGTGTAGACAAATTCAACCTCGTGCCCATGGCTTCGATCTGCGTTTGTTGATGTAGATAACGTTAGCCAAATTGATCTATTCGCGCGAGTCTATTGAATACAACGTCCAAAAAGCAAACGGCATTAAGTACATTTTCATTCATGCGCAATTCTATTTCATTAGGGGCGAGACACTGACGTTTATGCCGATGCGCGACACTCACTGGGAACGTGATAATTTAGATTAATGTCGCGATAATTTTAATTGCAAAATTATTTGTTGTTGTTCGAAGTTGTTCAGGAATTCTCAAGAGATGGAAGTGACAAACGTTGCGCGTCAGTTTATTCAAAAGCGACCCAACACAAGGTTATTCGTTGGTTTAATCCTTGTAAGCAGTTGCATCCCAGTGGCAATCTTCTTGGCGATTTTTCCTTGTGACGCTCATTGGCTTGCTGGTCATTCAAGGCACAATCATTGGTCTCGGCTTGACAACATTGTTGGTAATAAACAGGCTTTGCTACATTCTGCACACTCCTTGCTTACATAGCTCAGTGTGTCTTCGCCAAGTTGAAACCGGTTTGCAAAACCAGTGTGGGAGATTTGATGAACCGAGTTGAGATGGTTTCTGCTGGTCTATCCACATGGCAGGGCAGAAATTTTTTGAGTGAGAATGTAATGGCGTTTATGAGCAAAGGAAATGTGGAAGACTTGAGTATCGACATTGACGGTGAAAAATCGTCTAAACAGCCTGGTATACAAACACAGGATGGGAAAGACGTTTCCAACAGACTTTCTTCATGAACTGTAAAACTGTTGCAGAGGGGTATAGCTGTTGCTAAAGGGGTGGGGTTTGTAATGAGGTAAATTGCACATTCAGTATTCTGTATATTTAAACGGGGGAGGGGGTAATTCTGTATCAAAACTTGTTCTTTGTAAAACTAATTAAATTCATTCTACATTATTCTCTATAAATTTGTCACTTTATATAAATAATGTGTCTTAAAACTTTGACTGATCAATTTTATGTGTTTGCGCGAAAATATCACAAAAGTAAGCGTTTGAAACTATATGAATAATTACCAGGTTTTTGGACGAGGTTGGTTTTTGGCAAGTCTATACTACAAATTATAAAGCGATTACGTGATAAAAAACCAATCAAATAAATTTAGTCAAAACAAAGTACAAACAATGTAAGGTGACAACAACATAAATAACGCTTGTGGCTTAGAGGACGCGCAGTTTTTCAATCAGTTCAGTTCTATTTCAGAACCATCCTCAGAGATGCGAAAAACTAGTTTCATATTATTCTGACACTGCAATAGACCAACGAAAAATTCGTTGAAAAATTCGTTTAGCTAGCGAATTTTCCGGTGGTCTATTGCAATGTCAGAACAATATGAAATTGGTTTTCGTATCTCTGAGGATGGTTCTGAAATAGAACTGTTTAAAAAAAAACCCACTAAAACCATTATTCGGTTCAGACTCGGTGATTATTGGAGCATATTCCTCGATAATCACCTCGCCTTCGGCGAATAATTGCTAAGTGGAAACGTACATACGTACTGGAAATTGTCCCTTTGTGGACAAAACTGTCGCAAAAAATACTGCGAAAAATGTCAACCATATCTTAAAGAAAAAGTCAAATTTGAGGAATATGAATACAGTCTTGCTAAAATACGTTATATTAGAAACAATTTGCAAGTCGGCTCCACAATGGTTACGTCATTGGCATTTCCCATGGTGCACCGTGGTTTCAGTTGTATTCTCTTTACTTTCTTTAGCTTGGAATATCACAGTTTATGAGAAAACACATAATTTACGTACTATTTCAAAACCTGGCGTAAAGCACATGAATATACTGGCACCAACAACAGTTTTGTGTGTTGTAATTGGTTTAGTGTTGGGTACCTTATTTTTTGCGGGGTACTACAAGCATTACAATCAACTGAATCAAGTAGCTACTCTCATTTATAAAACGCACTATAAACTTCCATCACATCAGAGATGGGAACAGTTACCAAATTGTCCAAGAGTTTAATTTCTCCATATACTTCAGCTTCTTCGGACAAAGAAGCCCACAAGGGGAAGGTTTAGGAACGTAATCGTAGGATACGTACAAATTATAAAGTTTAAAAGCGCCCTTTTGTAAATACAGCGAAACTAATTTGACTACAGCCATTTTGCACAACAACTTCCCTACAACGAACAGTCAGTCCAGGTCTCAAATTTTAACCTCAAATTTGGGAAAATAGTTACGCCTACCTTAACGATAACGGAAACTAAAGCCTTAGATAATCCAATTATTGTGACCAGTTGTGGCCGATGGGAAGAGGGGGGGAAAGGGGGGGGGGTATGGATCACGTTTCACACGGAAAAAAAAGCCACTTCACGATTCACGCGTCTAAAAAAACCAATTCCACGGAGATTCTCATAAAATAACATAATAATAATAGGTTTATTGAGACTATGTTTAATGCATGGTACAGTATCCACGGTTTAAGTTCTCTCATTTCTCTACCTGTAAGTTAAAAACTACATCATAACTTACAAGTTTGAGTGCGTATCTTCATTGCCAGGAACCTCGTCCTCAGCGCCAGGAACCTTCTCCTCACCGGCAGCAACCTTCTCCTTACCGGCAGGAACTTGTCCTCACCGTCAGGAACCTTGTCGACGTCCTCCCCGACAGGAACCTTGCCCTTACCGCCAGAAACGTTGTCTTCACCGCCAGAAACCTTGTCCTCACCGCCAGAAACCTTGTCCCCACCGCCAGGAACCTTGGCCTCACCGCCAAAACCCTTGTCCTCACCGACAGGAACCTTCTCCTCACCGCCAGGAACCTTCTCCTCACCGCCAGGAACCTAGACTTTCCAAAGTCCGTGGTTCCTTCTTTCTCAAGCGCTCCCTTCTTGCTACGCGCGGTCCCTAGCGAGCGACTTGGGCAAGTCTACCAGGAACCCTGTCCTCACGGCCAGGAACCTTGTCCTCCCCGGTAGGAACCTTGTACTCGCCCATCCTCACCGCCAGGAAAGTTCTTCTCACCGCCAGAAACCTTGTCCTCACCGCCAGAAACCTTGTTCTCACCGCCGGGAACCTTGTCCTCACCGCCAGCAACCTTGTCCTCAACGCCAGAAACCTGGTCCTCACCGCCATGAACCTTGTCCCCACCGTCAGGAAGCTTGTCCTCACCGCCAGGAAAGTTCTTCTCACCGCCAGAAACCTTGTCCTCACCGCCAGAAACCTTGTTCTCACCGCCGGGA